TTCCTTGGTTTCAGCAGAAGATTCCCTACGTGGTGAAGATGTTCTTTATCGCATCCTTTATGATTCTTGGATTGTCTTTAGTCGTTTTCGCAAATGACTTTAAAGTAAAGATTTTAGGAGTTGGGCTAAACGCCATGGCTGCTGGTGCTACTGAAACCACCTCTCTTGCGCTGGCTTCGTTTTATCCAAAGTTATGCATCAGCGCGTTCGTCGCTGGCACTGGAACGGGTTGTCTGATTGCTGCTCTATACTACACAGGTAACCGTATCTTATTGTTCAGAGCTTTACTTAATTCAAAGTGGGCCTCTGTTTCTTTTAATACAGAGTGTGTTTAATTTAATTTAATCCCTAATAGAAAATAGCAAAAGGGGAAATAATGAGTGAATCATCATGAAACAAATAGCGAATGTTGAAGTTTGCTTCAAGGGAGCAAACCGTGAGCGCTTGGAAGAGAAAGTCAAGAGAGTGCAAGGTCCCGGTAACTTTACAACAGGAACATTTAATAACTGGGAATCTACTAGGTAGAGTCTAGTCTGAGTCACGAAGGGATTTGAAGTTTCATGACGCCGTTGGTGCGCTGCGTCATTACAATATGGAGAAATAGCTTGATCATTTGCATCTCAGACGGAATGCTGATTTTCCCCCTTTGTGTGCGTTTCTACGAGGAAACAGTCAAGCATTTCTGTCGCTGGTCATTATCTCGATTTAAAAATAAATCAGGCAAAATTTAGACGGAGAATATCAGCCGCATGTGTTTTCAATATGAAAACGTCTTTTCAAAGTTACCCCGTCGTACAAATTGTATAGAAGGGACCCTTGGAGAAAATGAGGAAATGTTCGCAAGTAATTTGCCTATAAATCCTATCGTCATCATCTTAATGCAATTCTGAACTACCAGCTAAGAGCAACAATGCTCAATATGTACAGTTGAAAGAGAAAAATTATCATTTTTTTTTTCTTTTCATCAGCTCTCATGACATGGACTTGCTTATCTCCTAAGACCACCATGATGATAACAGTTCCCCTTCCTTTGGCAGTTTTGGTGTCTTACGCATTGCTGAACAAAGACTTTCTCCCAAACAGCTCACAAAGCAGCCCCAAGGAGCTCAAACGCGTTAAGTACTCCATTGTGGGATCCACTTCTGACACCATGGATCAGGATGCGCCATCTCGCCAAAAACTAACATGTGGCGAAATGCTCAACATTGCATGGAAAATGAGTTCAGTCAATATTTCTCTATTGTTGAGCTTTTCTTCTGAGTATATCTCTGCTGTATCCGTACTTACGACGATTTCTTTCCCCAATTCACAATTTCTCCCTCGCGATCACTTCCTTATTTATCTGTTGTCGTACTTTATCGGTAGATTTGTCGGTCGAAGCTACTTGCTTTTATTTTCTTGGCTGCCTTCTAATATTACGAAATTTCTTCAGTGCAATAGAATCTGGATTTTCACAGTGCTGCAGATGGCACAACTGACTTTCTTGGTATTGAACTCGTTGTACCATTTCGTCCCATACATCTGGATAATAATCTGTGTTTGTTCAACTCTTGGTCTAATCGGCGGAATGATATGCGTGAACGCACCCCATGCAGTTGCGCAGCACGTTAAATCCGAGGAGAAAGAGTTTGCTTTAGGACTGGTGTCAGTTGGTTCATCCATGGGTGTATTAGTGGGTGCCCTGATTGGGCTGGCTGTGGAATCGAGTCTTAGAAAGCATTGTGTCGAGCATTACCCAGACACCAAAGAGTTCTGCTTCACAAGATATCAAAACACCACTGGCTGGGAAACTAATATTCACTGTTAAAGCCTGTTATATATTCTGACGGTTTGGTGCTTAAAGTCAAAAACCAACCAAGCAAACAAAAAACCTAACTGACCAATAGACAAAGGTCCAATCAAAACCTTCGTTTGCATTAATTTTTATAGAGAATATCATCACGAAATTTATGTACTTTTCCGTGAACGTATTTTGTTCGCCAGACTAAAAATACTTTGTCCGCAAAACTTTCTGAGACCACTCAGTAATGTTTTAGGTCGAGCGCATGATGATCAGATGAGGATCGTTCTCTCTCAGCAGCAAGCCTGCTTTAGCAAGTGACCTCTTTTGAAGTTCTACGCTGCTGGAACAGTGACCAAAATTTTGGGTCTATTTGCTTTAGATTGTGGGTTCCGAGAAAAAAAAAAATTTTTATAATAGAGTGAAGTTTCTGATACTTACGAGAATCATCTTCAAATGTTTCAAAGACTTGTGTCTAAGTTGCGTGCAGTATGTATGTCTTCGTAAGACGCCGCAAAAAGGGTTGCTTAAGGCCAGACTCGTAAAATAGAAAAAAAAAATTAAATTCAAGTGGCATATACCACACAGGTCTATAGTCCTTTTCACGCGCGCTGATTGGTTAGTTTGGAAGTGATTTGCATTTTATTTACCTTTGGGCAGCCGAAGAGACAAAGGGGCGCTTCAAGAGTTAAATTCCAGACCATTTCTCGGGGCATCGACAGATGAAAACAATTTTTTTGGTTTCTGTGAGGTATATAATAAAACGGTTATTTGCTTCAGTGTCTTTGAAAGTGGTGGATAGTTATCAGTAATCACCTCTACTTCAGTGAATAATTCTTTCCTCTTCAGTTTTTACGTGAGTCGGCTGGATTCCACCGGAAATTATTTCTAGCTCACCCCTATCAAATCATCAAAGACTTAGTCACCCAAGCATGTGCTCCCCTGCTAATTTCTAGGTCTGGCCGACAACCCACTCATTTTCCACGCTCTCCTGCACTCAAATGAAACTGAGCGCTGTTTGTTCTTGTTCAAAACAAACATAGCTACTGTCTCTTGAAATGGACACACATATTTCGCATTGAACGAAGAGTAGTCACGTGTTTTTAACTAAGGAGGCAGGAAGACAGGGGTGGTCGATTGCAAAAGTGAATTTCTATTCTGAGTTAGAATTTTGCAGATGGCTGGATGTGTTCACCGTCTCATAAAGTACCCCACCTAAATCTCAGCATACTGTGCGAGAGCAGCGTTGAATTCCAAATGGAAACTTTTGGGTGCCCTCAGTCATACTACGCAAATTTCTGTGATTTCACGCTGTTGCTTTTGCATTTGACGGCTGAGTAATGTACAAAGTATTAGAATGCACGCGCTTAGCTATTGTACTTCCCTTTAGATCGTCTGTTTTACCCTGACGTCATCGTTGCTGTTACCGTCGTGGTTTTAAGGTCCTTAGTAACTACGAACGAAATGCTTAGGAGCTTCTCTGGAAAAGCGTAAAGCCCATTGCACAAAATTTCGTCTATGTGAAGCTTCCTTCCTTTAAATCTCCATTCCGACCCTTATATTGGTGCTTAAAAAATACGTTTGCTCGACCACAGGTACAACAGAAGAAAATTATTGACTAAAAATTCAATAAATTTGTCTACTGTGTAAAACCACGAAGTAGTCCAAGTACTACTCTGAAACTCCTGCGCAATTATAAATGAACCACACTTCATTATAAAGGACTAAAAGCCTTAAAACTCAGGCAAGGAGTCAGTATGTGGCATTCTTTCGATTCTTTTGTGTAATATGTTCATTATTTTTTTTACCTTCGAGGGCCGTCAGTCTTGTGAATGGTTAGCAACTACTTAGAAGCTACAACGACGTTTTGATAAGCAGAGTGATGACATTTCGAGTGGAAAACCAAGAAATCACCTATCACAGGAGCCCAATGGGCTTCTGCCTATCATAATTGGGATCATGCAATTCTACAAAAAAATGGGGTGGACAACGTGCATTCGTATACCTTGATTAACAGGCTTACTGAAAAATAGCTGAAAAATGGCTGAACTTTTAAAAACTTTCGCTCCAGTAACCCAATTGAAATTTGTGACCTTACCGCGAAGTAAACTATTACAAGGAATATTCTACCATTGCCGGAAGGCGTGCGTGGTTCTTATTTCTCTTTGCCACGTTTCTTGCATAATTTTTAATTCATATCTATCGCCTACGCTAACTCAGGAAATGTAGATTTGCCTGTTAAGTTCCTTCAGTTTTTGTTCTTTTTTCTCTTTGTCAATTTTTTTTTGGCATTTTTCTATGACAACATTGCCTAGAAGGTCTTACGAGGTGTGTGTTTATCAAATGAAACAAGTTAACATATAAAGAAGTATGAAACAAAAGAAATTGGTACAAAAGAATGTTTCTTCATCTCTGCTAGTTTCCGATTTGGTGGACCGTTGTAAAGTTGAAAGTAATGCAATGGATCTTTCGTTGTTCTATCTAACAGACTTAAGTTTGTTTACCTAATTAGCTCTTAAAAACCTTTCAAATAATTATTCAGCTATTGTCAGACGCTTTTAAGATAAGTCACATAGCATTGCCGCCTTCGGATTCTTTAAATTCATCTGAAAGCTGGAGAAAAAGGAACACAGCGTGTTGCGCTAATTATTTGATATGCAGTGATAACCAGTTTTCTAAGGTGAGCTTAAGCCAAAAATTAATCCATCTTATGTCAGAGCTCTAAAATGCAATCAACTGCAATGGTTCTGCTGAATTGGTAGCTTTGCTTAAATTCCGAGAGAGTTTTCAAATCAAATTGGAGTCAAAGAATAGCTACTGAGGAGTACGAACATGGTAACATTCGGGGTTGCCACGAATCAACAGAAAACTGCAGGAATCAGTATTCTAACCGGAAGTCAATTTACACCTGACTTAAAACATTTTCTGTTTTGATAATATTTCATTTGTTTTAAGGAAGGAGGTTTCTTGCTGTTTCGGATAATGAGTGATCTTATCTACGTTATTAGATGTAACTTAAAATAGTTTTTGATTCAATATAATGGCGAGGTGAAACTTTTCAAGATTAATTAAGGAATATTAAGATATTTATCAACATTGCACGCTGTGGTTAAACAATATCTGGCACTGATCAGTGTAAACAAAGGTTGATCGCTGACGGATAAACCTTAAATGTTTTCGTCGTTGATTTGAGGAGTGATTGGTGGGCAGAACGTCTCTTTCATAGGTAAATATAGGTTATTAGACCCGTAGAAGAACGGTTCTTGGATGATTAACACTTAAGGGCTACCGACAATCTCCTGAGACGTTTTATTGCAACTGCTAATGTACTTTGAACGCAGGTAGGTAAGAATAATCCTATCTGAAAATGTTATACTCAACTTAAGCAACTGAGAGTAAGTTTTTAGGGAGAAACTTTGGTTCTTTTCGACTTAAACACTGCTCAAAGGAAAACAAAAGGAAGATTTTGTGTTGTGCTTCGGATTATAATATCGTATTAATATGGTAAACTCCGGACGAATTTTAGCATGACTTTTCCATTTTGATTCTGTCGACGGTTTGTTTCACATTGTCCATAGTAATTAGTTGCACTAAATGCCTATCGGTTATATTGTGGCTCATGTAGACGTTATGTAGTTTTTTCTCTTGTAAGCAATAGATTGAGCTAACGATATATAACCGACGAAGATTGCTTTTAACACTCATGAGTCTCTTTCATACCTTTCAACTTTACTTGAAAGGGCTGTTAGTGATGGTAGTCAGTCCTCATGGCTCAAACCACTAATGGTTGCTAGAGTCAACGACCACCATCTCTTATGGTCGAAGTGTTTTTCACTTAAATGATAAGAGGTCTTTTCCGATGAGATGAAGCATTCGCTCGCTTTAATACTGCCCGGAATAATGAAAATATTAGCCATCAAGTCTTCTCACCGTCATGCCTGAATATCAAAACGTAGTTCCATGACACTCTTCAAGCAGCATGTAAAGATGAATTATAATAATTTATTTAAGTGGCTATTCCTTAAAACGAGAGCCTCTCAACAATCCCATTACAATGGGTTATGGAAACCAAGTTTACATTGTGCATCGTCATCCATTTATTTAGACTCTGTGCGATACCAAACAAAATTTAATTCAAGGTCTAAGTTCATTCTTGCCGCTGCCTGCTATCACGAGTTTGTTGTACACAAAGTTTAATTTTTCATGGATTTGGTTGTCATTTACCGGCTCAAAACTTTATTAATTTTTTCACGAGTATCTAGAATTTACTGAAAAGAGCTAAAATAACTGTTACATTTTCGTACATTGACACCTCGCCTCTCCCCAAGAGTATGGAAACCTGTCGGTGCACAGTTTACAGGAAATGAGTTTAATTTTTAGATATGCACCTTTGAATATGTTCAAATCCTGAGGAGAGCTTCGCTTAGGCGAGTACACAACTCCAATAACTGTGGGACAAAAAGGTATTAGTTAAAGTTTTATTATCAACGTTTAATCTGGAAACTTGTAAAAGTATTTCGGCGTTTTCAGGACAGATTTGTACTCTATACTGTAACCAACGCAAGGCCGAATAAAAGGCGTCTCCGGAAACTAACCCACTTCGCTTTTATCTTGGTCAAAATATCTCCAGTGTGATCCGATAAACAATGAAATATTTGCTGTTCGCACTCGTACGTTTGATTATAAACCCTTCCTACGCCTTTCACCCTGCTGCGACTAATAATTGATGCGGAATAAGACCTCCCCAAATGTAGACTTTGAACGTAACTTTTAAATGCATCGGGCAACGATATAAATTCAGAACTAAACAGTCTCTCGTACCGAGCAGGCTTTCATATTTTTGTTTTTTGACTGACAAAAGTTGGAACCGTTTTAATCCCGTTTTCAATGGCTTGACAAGAGCGAATATTCGACCACTGAGGTAAGCGATTGAACGCAGTTATATTCATGTTAGGCCTCAACAACAATATTCTCGAAGCGTGCCCAAGAGTAATCATTTAAAAGATTTTTGCTTCATCCTTTAAGCTTGTTTTGTCGAGAGCCTAAAAAGACATGCGCTTATTTGACTTTGCATGAATAATTAGCCAGTAAATTAAAACGTGATAGATCTTCGCAGACGTGATTAGGTCAATGCCTCTGAACACAATAGGAACAAAAGCATAATTTAATTTCAAAGAACGGCGAGTTAATTCAGAAATAAATATTTTCCCTGTGAAAATCTCTAAAAGAGGTGACGTTCTATTTGCGGTATGTCGCGCAACGATGTCGGACCTTTCACAAATCAATTGTTCTTCACTAGGCTTTAATCACGAAGCAAGAATCAAAATGTCGGAGCTCTCTTGCTATGAACTCAGAGTCGTTGAAAACATCATTAAATGATGTTAGTTTTCAAGCAACCTCAACATTCATGCTGTTCGAATTACATCAGTTCTCGGCCGGGGTTTATGGTTTAATTGCCAACACTGTTTCAACACTCACACTGAAGATGTTTGGTTATTCGAAGAGAAAGGAAAGTTATGCTCCTTAACCATTAATCGAAGTTTCTCACGGTTAAGAGCTTTAACAAGATTATTTTGAATTGGATAGAATTAAATAGTCAAAGATGTCTAAAATGGTGACATTTCGTCCGGAGCGAAAGTACTTCTCAGTTTTTACTATGGTCTAATGATAACCTGATTTACCAGGAACTAATTAGTAAAATAACTATTTGAAATGATATGCGTGGCTTGCGAAAGGCTGCCAATATTTGCACTCCTACTGTTGTTGTGAGAAGTGTACACGGGACTCAAGGTCACAAAATCTGGGAAAAATATTGACTAGATCGTACGGGTTAGGCCCTCCGTGGTTGCGGGATTATTCCGAGCATTTGGCATTAATACAAGTTAATGATTACGCATTACAACAAGTGATCACGAATGAAGATCAAGAATAAAGAGGAGTACATCGGTGAGAAGACTTGAATAGGGGATTTCTTTTCATCAAAAGACGCGACTGCCAGACCCTATTTTCATACAATATTTTATAGAATCGGGAGTCTCTAACTCCTATTATGCAATACACAATAAAAGTTAACTGTTAGCGTAGTTAACGACATGGTAGAAAAATTCAGCCTAGACTTTTAAAGGATCGTCACGTATAATACTCATTAATCTTCGTTATGCCCCTGACATGCTGTTTTGGTCCCCGCAGCGTGAGAAGACAATTTTTTTTGTAACGCTTAATTCTTTAAGGATACCTGATGACCTTGTTCAGTATACTGAAATATGTCATGCAGTTACGAAACACTTCATATCGGAAGGTTATTAAATCTTTCTGAGAATAATCACTGCAAAAAATCTCCGATATTCATAAATTAAGCGGCTGGCGTAAATGATTGCTCGAAAAGCATTATTAGAACATGTGCGGTATTGACCCAATACGATTACATAAGGTAACCTTGTTCTTAAATTTACATTTCAGTTACGATTGGAAAAAGGACGTACAGTCAAGTACCTCGCACAAAGGTAAGTGTTGCCGACCAGTTTTCCTAACAAATTGATTCCTTCTATAGTTTGCTTCAGGTTGTCTGTCTCTTTTGCCTTAAGGCTGGTATTGATGACCCAACAATACCAGCGAAAGCGAGTTCTCTGAATACATGAAAATTGTTGTAGTGTTGCACTTTTGGAATTATAAACAACGCCAACACTTCGGCCTAACATGCATGTTGCGGAATTTTTTTTATTGGTTGGGCCGTGCTACGGGAACTCGAATTGCCAAACGAAACGAAAAACATTTCGAGATAACGGTCAAAATTCGAGGAAGCTGATTCAATGCGTAAAAAAAGCGCTCAGTAGGAAATTTTCGTAAGTTCGAGTTAGGGGGATGAATCAGCTCGGTGATTTCGAGTGGGCTATGTCCTACTGTATGATGGCAAGCTGCCTAATTTACTTCGTATTCGTGTGAAATCGTTTGAAAGCAGAGTTTTTTACAAAACGATTCGAGATAAGCGGCTTTAGATTGACTTGTCAACATGCAAAAGGGGTAACAGAAACTGCATTTCTTTTCCGATTAGTTTAATCATCGCAAAGAGAAGAAGAAAAGCTCTCGTAAGGATTAGCTCCTTGGTGCTAAACGTTATTTTATCACTGAAATTTGTTGTTTGCATGATATTGAATTTTTTTCCAATGGAATGGATTTACCTTGGGTTAAAAAAACACTTAACGATTGAATCAAAGGACAATTGCAAGAGGTCATTCAACAGTGTTTGTTTGCAGCCTCGATGTGAGATAATTTATAGTCACACAGAGTTTGACTGTCTATAATTTGGGTGTTTACTTTGAACCTTCGAGGACCGCCTTGTTTGTGGGTTTTGAACGAGCAATAACTGCGCCTCTAAAATCTGCAACTAATCCAGTGAAAGGTCTCGACTATTCTTAATATCAGCAAGTTCGAATCTGACAAAAAAGCTAACTAATTATTTTTAGTCGAATTGATGTAATATTAAATTTTGATTCAAGAGGAAAAGGTAACAGAAATTTGTGGTCTAATTATTTTGAGTCCTCCGTGTCATGACCTCTCCCTTTAACTGCGACACTAACTCTGTAATTAACCACCAAAACGCCGTCAAACTGGCGATTCCAAGTAACGCTAGAGGTGTTTTTTGGTTTCTATTCAATATAAACAACTCCTTCGATTCTACATGAGGTGTTCTGAAGCGAAGAGACGTTATTGTTTTAACATTCCGTTATGTAAAACAAGAGGGCAGCCTTTGAATAAAACGGAAAGCAATTAATATCTAAGTATGAAGCGTAAATGCCGCCAGCTTGAATGAGCCAAAAAAATAAAACAAAAATAAATTTTAAAAAAAGACCGAAAGCGTGTACGAGTTATTAAACTTAGCGTGAGAAACATATTTGAACGTTGGCCGAGGTTCTTTCGAAGTCTAAGTCCTTAAAAAATCAAAAGCATGGACGCATATTTTCTGATAACACCGGCTTTTAGACCACTGAAAAATTTGAACGGTGGTTATTGAATGTTTTCCTTTAAGAATGTGGATTTTTTTTCTCTCTCTCAATAAATTATTTTCTACCAGGTGGAAGATACGAAGGGAAACTGATTTGACGCAATCTGTAAATAAGGTTTCAAGTAGTTCCCTGTGAAAACAATTTAAAACAAAGCTCACTTCTTCTCCTAATTAGGTTGTTAAAATAATAATTCAAGGTACTATTTCGGTAAATTTCCTTTCATGACTGGCCAAACAAGAAGTTCACGTAAAAAATTTACTAATTTTATTGTCTTAACAAATGATCGTTGATAAGCAAAAATTAATTGAATTTTTTCGATAAGCACATTATAATTTTAAATTCTGCTGTGCTATGTTTACGAAAAGTTCAACTGAGCATTCTTAAGAGAGATTTTGCGATTAAATTTCATGTACAAGGACTGGAAGCTTCCTTGTTCACATTAACTTTTGTGATTTTCGCGCGTAATTTGATACGTGGGAAGAATAGGGCGTGTGAAATTTGCCCACGCCAAATTAATTCAATACCTCACGAAACAAAGAGATTGCTACATAAATACTCTGAGTTCAATCCTTGTGCAGAATTTATCAGTATTACGACTGTATGTGCCATACTTCAGGAAGTTTTTCTGCTCTTAAAATCAGCTGTTACGTTCAGTTTAAAATTAGCTAGGTATATTTATAAATTTTTGGATTTGAGACAAGTACCCTTAGCTCATGCTATCTGGGTGAAAAAAAAAAGATAATGATAAAATAAAATAAACAGTGGAAAAATCGCGAAAGTTTTGCTAAATTTTCTGTAATTTTTCCACATATTGGGAAAATTGATACTTGCAAAATTCAGCTCTCGACTATTCGCCGAAAGTAGCATCAATAGGCTATTTTTTTGCAATTAAGCTTAATAAATTAGTTTGATGTGGTGCTTTTAAGTTGAATAGAAATTTCCGGACCTAAATATAACCATTTAATTGATTTGCTGCACGACATGTTCTAATAAAAGTGGGGCAGAGAATTTTATATATTTTTTTTTATTTTCAAAGGACCGCTGAGAAAAGTTTTTCAAGTTTTTGGTACTTTTTGAAGAGTACAAAATCTAGAATATTTTCAGTCGTAAGAAAAAATTTTCAGATTGCGTGATTTCTTAGAAAACCGAAGCAAAATTTTAATTATCTCTTTGATGAAGGAGGTCATGTACCGACACGTTTATATTTTCTGAGCCCTAGAAAATTGGAAATACGATAAACCATAGAAAACAAAGGGAACATAATTGAGATATTATTGAGGACCTTCCACCTCAATGTTATCTTAAGGCAGAGATTTATCCTAAAGTTGAAGTCTAATGCATCTTGCAGACATTCAAATCTTGTTATCACATTAATAAAAGTATTTTTAATAAAATATTTATGCACAGCGCTCTGGATGAGAGAATGAAAACTAAAGCTAAATAGGACCCCAAAACCCAGACTCAGGACTGTGGATTTTTACCATCCACCCCCACCCCAAGAATAGAGATAAGAAAAGGTGTTCGTTTTGTAAAAGGAACGAATGACAGAACGCAAGAAAACTTCGTTTGCACTGAACTGGACGCGAGTATTTCCGCTTAAATCACAGGGGGATGTAATTTCATCACGTCGGCTCGATAAATACGTGATCGTTCGTGAGCTCTCAATCTTTATCCCATCTTGGGTTAAGAAATTCAAAGTCTTGACACGAGCTTGATTATGAAATCCCTTCGTTCTTTTCCTCTGTAGAAGAAAGCGAAACAACGCAGGATGTTGATTTTGTTTGGGTGGGGGGGAGGAGTTGATGTTGATCTGTGGGATGATTAAATTTGGGGGGGGGGGGGGTGGGGGTGGTGAGGGATGAGATAAGAGTTCGATGGACACCCCAGAGTCCAGTCTAGCTTTTAGCTGTGCTTTCCTAGAATTCTCCGGCCGCAAGAGACAGTATTCGAGAGAAGTCTCAAAGTTTGATTATATGTATTTTACAAGGTCTTAGCACGATTACGATCAAGGGCGATCTAAGATATCGATGATTCAGACTGACAACTTATTGGAAGAAGTACTTCCTGTCATTTTACATATTTCCGTGGTGAAAGATTACATAATTGCGTAATGTATGCCCCAGTTCCCGACAGTGCTAAAGAAAAACTCGAAATGTGTTGGATCACAGTACGTAAACCAACAAAGGAAGACAAGTGCCAACTAATACTGCATTTTTCTTTCTACTTTCGTCAAAAGAACTTTTGAAAAAAATGGTGTGAAGTGCTCAGTATGATTTCACTAACGACACTTAGTAAGTCAAATCACCTACTTACTCTTGGGTGATTTTCACTCTTAGAGAAAACAAGCAAAAACAAAAGGAAAGGGCGGAGAAATGGGAAGGGGATGAAAAGAAAACTGAAGAGTAACTGGATCAAACTCGGTGCTTTTCTTTAATTTTTGAAGATCTAGGTACGAAGGAGTCGTTAGGATTTTAGGAAAGAAGAGGCGAGAAGAGAGAGACAAGAAATAGGAATACACAAAATGAAAAGGAAGAGTGCAAAGGTGGGAGGAGAAAAAAGGAGAGGGGAGGGGAGAGTAAGAACGAAAAGAAGAGAGGAGGTAGGGGGAAAGGAAAGAGGAGGGGAGGGGGGAAGGGAGGGGACAATAAGAAGAGAGTGAGAAAATGGCAAGTGGACTAGCACGTTCTTAGCTCGCAGTTATACAAGCAAGTTGCGTTCTGGGCCCAGTTGCATAAAGGGCGGATAACGCTATCCGACGGATAAATCGCTATCCAGCGGTTAAGTGATAGCAAAACGTATAGCGCCATCCGCCGGATAGAGATTTATCTAATGGATAGCGTTATCCGACCTTCAAACAACGGGGGCCTGATGGTTACTGATATCTCGCGTTGTTAAGCTATGGAAACTCCAGCATTTGTTTTTGCTTCAAAGAATCTTTGCTATCGAGGAATAACAGATTACAAGGCCCTCGTAAGGATAACCTTTAGTCCTGGAATTTCCTAAAGATAAAGACCTAACTTACAGATCGCAATAAGATATTGTCTCGTAATCCTTACTCAACGCCTAATCGGTTCAAGATTTGAGAGCAGAAACCGCAAGCTAAGAAAAAGTAATTTTTGCAAGCACTTTTTGGGATCGTCATCATAACTTGTTTATGAAATCCCTCTTTAATTGCGCACAAGCAAGAAAATATGTTATTTAAAGACATATTTTGCAGCGTATGGCCACGGGCGACAGCGTATGGCCTCGACGCTCAGAAAAGGATCTCATTGCTCGAACATTTTCAGTGAAAAGGCCAATTTATGCAAAACAAAATGATGACCCTCCTTTATCACAAAAGGCAATAATCGCTTTTCTTTCAGTCAGTCAATCGCAAACCGCAAATTTTACCAATAAACGCAACCAAAAGATTAGAAAAAGCATCCACGATCGTTATACAGTTATTCCTGACCAGCAGCAGTGTTCTCTGCTCTAGCTTCTTTTCGGTAAACGAGTGCTACGTTCCAAATTTCTCCTTGATCGTTACCTACGCTATAGTTGCATGTAATGTAGATGAGCGGAATGAGAAAAAATCTTTAAGTGGACTACGTCTTTTAAGAGATAAGATTTCCACTTGTAGGACACTCCTAACAGGATAAAGGCTGTATTCCAAAGCCACAGCTTGGAAGATTTGAGTCAAAATATTTTGATTTATGTCTCTGTGATGAATGAAGCACTTTCCATTTTAAGGAAAAAAACAAAATATCAGTTAAGTGAGATAAAAAAAAAAAAAAAAAATAGTTGCAAAGCGTTTACAAACAGCACAAGGTGAAATTAAACATGGAATTTTTTGGCGTTCTCTCGTGCAGTGTGCAGCTCGGCGGAGCTTTTATCATTTAAAAAAGCAATGCCTTCCTCTTACTAAAAGCAAAATTCACATTTTTCTCTCTCGAACAAAGAATACTTTCATTTCAGCGGTCTCTAAAAGGTTCTCGGGCTTATCCGGTCATGTGACGCACCTGTAAACCAATCCTGTGCAAGCGAAAATTTCTGATGTATATCGGTGACATGAGTGTGCTCAGTATATTCCGAGCTTCATGTGTTTTCATTTTGTTGTTTTTTTTTGCTTTTGATTTGCCCAGTTTTGACCTTAAAATCTCCTAACGGCCCATATCACTCTCCCATCAAAGTAGACTCGTATAATTTTGCTGGTCAGAAGGTTTTCTCGTGTAGCAGATTTATTGGTAAATCTTGTTACAATAGGCCTTTTGATTTGCTGAGTGCGCTTAGATTATTCAAAGTTTCAGCAAACCTGCCAAAACAATATCAATTCTCCTAATGGAGTTTAACCTTTAGTTCGGCTTGTAGGCGCCTTTTATCTGGTGAATAGCTTATTCATTCGTTTGCCAAGTCACTTGAGACAGATTGCTGCGTGGGATGAGAATTTTGAAACATTTTGGCACACTTCAAAACGAAAAAAAATTCACACATTAACATTTTTGAGATTTTTAGTTATTTTGGAAGGAAAAATAACTTATTGTTCACTCCCGGAGTTCTGAGTTTAACTTATCTGGGATATTTCTAAAAAAAGTCACTTGAAACTTTCTAGCTTCATCTACGAGAGGTTAGCACCCATAATTACTCATGTTATTTTTGCTTTATCTTTCTGATTGAGTGGGCTCTTGAGGCTTTAAAGAAACCTTCGTGAAACTATCTCACAGATGCACTTTTTTTAAAAAAAAAAAAAAACCGGAATTTGATAATATGATTTCTGTTAATGAACTTCCAGATAATGGACGTAAATGAATGTACCGCATTTAGTTTCTTATCTGTAAATCATGCTTGATACTTTAATTAACCGCGCAAATAATTACTTCCTTTGGCCTTCATCACTTTTTCTTTATTGCTAACCTTTGTTTCAGCTAACGTGTAATTTCAGGTAAGACAAGTGGAATTTAGCTGATTACGCCGATTGACTCCAATTTGCACAGTGAGTTTAAATTAATCTAAATTGAATTGTTAAAGGTTTCACCACCTTCATAAAATCAATTTAACTTCGGAACAAATGCGGCCATTTTAGAGCTCTTTGATTTTATATTATTCCTTTTTCTATTACACATCTTTTGAGCAAATTCACATTGGATGCCGTGCCAGCAAATTTTGAAGCCTCTGGATTCTGCTACATCTATACTTTCAAGCTCTTCCACGATGGAATTCCCAATCCATGATAATTTTTTCTGTTCAACCGAATTTTTATGCCCTCCTTTTTAGCTAGGAGTGGTTAAGAGAGATTTCTTGTTTGAAATACTGGTTAAATACAATTTTTCTTAATCACATATTTTTCCTGTGCGCAGTTTTTGGATCACCCATGAGAACCGAGCTTCGTCATCCCTTACTACCACACGTTAATAAAGAAGATGTTTTAAGATACTTTACTAATTTTCCAGCATACTTTGAAGCTGTTAAATCTAGATTTTATTCATCATCAACTAATTCGGGTCTAAAGTGACAACTGATGATAGATAGATTATTATGTCATGTTTTTTTAGATTACGAAAGCGAAGCAGATGTTTCCAAACCAAGCTGTGTTCCAAAAATTTCACAAAGCACCCATTAAACTCGAGATGTCTATAATAGAATTAGATCAAACAATTTTCCATTTTCCCACAAAATAGGTGGTTTTGTGCGGCCGGTGCCGTTCTAACTTCAACTAATGGACTGACTGAAATAGCTTTTTACATTTGAGATGATGTTAGAAATTCTTCTGAAGCATGGATAAGCAAAGAGAGAAACTTGACTTCCGTAAGGATGCTTTCATTTCACTTTCACCTCGATTTTCCAACAACTGAGGAACAGAAAACTCTTCTGCAGTTTTTATGCTACTTTCGTGCATACTTTATAATCAGCGATGTCGAAAGATTTGCCCATTAGGGGTAGGCTAATGAAAAATGAAGTTTTGTTGAGTAATCTAGACTTTGAAGATGTACATGCAGGTATTTCATTTCAGACATGATATACGCACATAGTACTGACATCCTGTTTAACTCCTTTATTTGACATCCGCCAGTTTCCTAATCCACCTAAATTTGATTACCACGTAAAGCTACTAGAAGTCTACTATCAGCTTTCAAGTTCATGGATCGTTAAATCATATGACATCTATTAGTTTGGTCTGAGTTGGAAAGGGTATGGAGATTTAGGATGCACCTGCTGTTTTTTTGAGAGGAAAATGCACAACCCCCTCCTCCCACCCCTTTAATTTCAATTAAACTTTACAAACTCAGTAATTTTAAAGTTAGCTAAATAGATAGGAAGCAATGCAAAGGAAAGCTTAAGGCCAGGCTGTTGATACGAATAGTAGATAAACTGACCTTGCAATTACCCACATTTCTCTCAGTGAAGGTCAACGGGTCGAGAAATATCTGGCATAAACAGATCATCACACTATATCATACTTTGTCCACGAGTGGTAGATATATGATATCAGACCTGAATAAATGACAAAGTTTGTGCTACCATGTGGGTTATTCGTGCACGAAAAATACCCTTGGCACTGTATTTTGTGCGTTTGAAGAGCGCGGGGTTGTCTCTTTGCGGTTCTTTTAGAAACGAGTATTTAATTCGCAAAAAACTTGTCAAGAAGGTAAGAACTAATTTCAAGTTGCATTCCCTCTTAAATCAACTTTTGGAATCGATGATTTGAATCAAAAATTGGCGAATTTTATTTATTGTTGATTTTTTTTCTTGCTGCCTGAAACATTTTGATCCATTCGTCCTTCAGTTGCAAAATTTTCCATGGAATCAAAAGTTATTTGATCAATTCTTACTAGGGCTTCAAATTGCCAAATGGCTAATAACACAGTTTTCAACTGTTACGACAAATTAATGTTCTATCAAGGAGCGGTTTCAGAGAGATAGCACTGAGTTGACATCTAGTTCTTGATTTTAGGCTTGCTAGGGAGGCAGTCGTCTTTTGAGCCAAAACGCTTGCTATTGGCGAGTGCTATTGGTGATGGAATATAGCTACTGTTCGTCATTCCTACTCAGTTCTAAGCTAAATGAAATGATGAAAAAAATTGCGATGTGTTTATTATCAGGTGTCAGGTATAGTTGCAAAAGTCGCGAATTTAGAGAGGATAAATTCATTGCGATCTCTACTGGTCCATATTCAGTCAGAGAAAAAATCCTTTAAGGTGTGTTAAACGACTAGTTTATTCATTTATTTTCTTGAGTTTAAAAGGACAATTTAGAAACAGCGACGGTGGATATATCCTGTAGAAATTTTGTATACTGGAATGCGAGAATGTTTAGCTATCTTATTAAGCTAGACCTCTTGAGTCACAAGAATGTCTAAATATTCTGGTAATATCTGAGTATTCAAGGGTTGAGGACGGCCATTGGTCAGTGTGTACTTGTGCTTAGCTGTTTACACCTTAATCTACTTGATCGAAACTGGAGGCGTTCTCCACTCTAAATGGATCGACTCAAAAACTGAGCATGCAAACACTTCGAGGGAGATAAATTATTGTCAACTGAAATGAGAGATTGCTACGATATCACAGCAACTCGTGTACACAAACTTTACCTAAACTCTCTACTTTCTTGCAAAAAGTATTCAAGAGTTTTTCCAATGTGCTGTCCAAAGCGAAAAAAAGTCTTAAATTCTCATATTTCTCACTCATTTAAACATGATTATGGCTTCAAGAGCTTACATACGTGCGAAAATGTATGTCGAGGTTACAGAGTGATCGACAGTATTGCTGCGAATATCAAGCTGTAAACGTATAGCACTTTTACATGGTATACTATATTTACTACAGGGTATATTGTTCATTGTACTGTAAACTGTTCGAGGGTAACAATATCCGTGTGAGTTATCGGCTTTTCGACAGGAGGCGCGGGTTTCCTTGTTAATTTATTGAATCGTAATACAGCTCTAAGACTTTTCATTCTGCATTTGAAACCCACGTTTATCAGAGCTCCTTTAAAATTTTCGTGACCAAGGGAGCCACAATGTTGCCAAATTTCAGAGCTCTCAGTTTGGAAACATTGTCTTGGGGTAATTTAAAAGATTCCGGCTTCAAAGTTTTCTTTGAATAATCAATGATTTTCTGTAAAATGAAGCTCTGTGTTGCAAGTTTTCTCATTCTGTCGTAGTTTGTTTAAATACCTTAACCAACGTTACGAAGTCATCGAGATTGATGTTCCGGGGGTTACCCGAGGGTCGCCTGACCTTTGTAAGCAAATGAGACCACGCTGAACGTGATAAAATATCATGAACTATCAGAGGAATTTCACCATCTTTTGTTTAATGTGCTTCTTGTCAGTCACCCCGTCATAAAAATGGGGATTGAAATTTACAGATAAGAGTTCTGGATTAATATCATTGCTGATCGAAGTTTTAGTTGCGGTGATCACCTTGATGAAATGATTGAAATATAGTTTGTCAAGGAAATTGAAGAGAAGGAGAAAAATATAGCTTATCAGAGACCTATGGATTTAACTGAAACTGATACAACTGAGATCCTCTTCTGCAAAGGAGATTTGTCCTTCAGCACGCGTTGCAATTCAGTTCAATCTTGCTTGTAACTTCGTTTCTTGCGGTAAGATGAGTTGGGCTTAGAAAATGTCAAACCCCTTAGCTGATCCAAAATAAACTTAACATAAAATTACTCAGATGCGTAAATATTGGCTTTTATTAGTCTGGATACAGAAATAACATACAAAACCTTAAATTGCTGCATATTGCTTCAGGACAGCCTATTAATTTGATTTCGGAACGGAAAATGGTATTTGCGTGATCGATGGATAATTCAGCACGCGCTCAAACAATCCGTGAAATTTGAGTTTGGTGACAACCTAAACATTTGAGCAGCTCTGATAACGAAAAAATATTTGAAGCAGTTAAATTTGAATGGCAGTTTCCGTATCAAAGGATTCACCAGCGGAAACGTATTTGCCCTAGTTTTTTTGAACATTTTTATAATCCTTCCTTTGAGAGTCTTAAGTGAAGATTTGTCAGAACTTACCGGTGAGTTAATATATCGTGACTGTACACATTTTATTCAAACATTGGAAGTATGTTACCTTCGGAGGCTGTATACGTGTGCTTATTGATACAACTGGTAAAATCTCCATGTGGAAATTTGAATGGGAGGATCTAAAATCTCAACATGAAATCTTCCGACTTTGACGTTCCGTTCTAACACGCTTCTTTTGATCATAATTCTTTATCGCATCCGGTATGTTAACGAATAATATTCAGCGTGTTGAATTCGTTGTCACTGGTTTAATTTTCACGCTTACGGAACGCTTTCGATATCAACGTTGTTCCCAGGCGCCGATACCGTTGTACGATTTTCAAACATGCGCGAGCATATTTTCCGCAAATACCTCGACCAAATCTATAGCTGTAGTGGCCGAAGGTTTTAGTCTGACAGTGATTCATTACGCGAAGGGAAAGGTATGTGTTACGCCGTGTTACGGAAGACAAGCCTCAGCTAATCGTGGGCAGCCTATCAGATTTCTCCATATCAGATACACACCGGACCTTGTGATCTCTGCTCATTTCACTGATAAACAGAGAAGAAAACACACTTACATGTTGCTTCTGTTCTCGTTTTTTTTCCAAGTTTAAAGGGAGTACCAGATTGTTCACTCAATAACCAGGATCATCTCATTAGCTGGTGAGGATTGTATCTTCGTGTTCAGCTAGCGCCCAAATTCGGTGAGTTCCACATGCTTTAAAAACAACGTTCTTGATATGATTCATTAGGTCTTCTACATTAGCGAAAAGTGCCCTTGAAACTCTCACAAAGCCCTCTTTTGTTGTAAACGTCTCCTTTTTGTACTAGCAGAATTATGAGGAACGGTTTTAACACAAAAACTACGAACTAATACTTGCTTCAATTCCTCATGAGGTTTCTTTATTTACCTAGTGAGTTGACTTAATTAAATTTGATGAAAAAGAAACGGTGTTTATCGATTTAATGACATCATGATAGAATCTTAAACAAACTTGTTTGTCCAGGGTTCTATATTAAGCGCGGTCGAAGAAATATATAATGCGCTCTTCATGTGTTCGCTGGTAGGAAAATAAAATTGAAATCTGTTTTCAGCTTAGCTCAGTAAAAATGCTGGCACAATTTCTCTGAAACGCTTCCCGTCTTTTTAACATTTTGGCTTGGCGTTCAACTATATCCTGCCTATGAAGTAAATACCATTAGGGTTTGTTTGATTTCTTAATAGGTATAAAGTTAATTTAGGGTTTGCAATTATTAATCTGGTGAACAGTTCAGTTTAAACATGATGTTGCATTTCGACTTCCACAGATATGCCAAATATTCTCTTCATATGCCGTTTAGGCATCTGTGTTAAATATATTACAACTGGTATGCAGTTGCCAAATTTCCTCTTTCTCAGAAGATGCCGATGTAAACAACATCTCTAATAACATTGCCTGCAAGTAGAGGTTTATATTCTAGCTAAACGGTGTTGATCCTAAAGTTGATAGTTTGTTCTGCGCTTCAGATCTCTTACCAACAAAACTGAAACAGTCATTGATACGGAGAACAATAGTTCTCACTTGATCCCGCTGTGTTTCAAAAACTTGAAATTAAAAATAACATGAAATTATTTTGTGTGGCACGTAAACATAGTTACATGATGACGTTCGGTGGGCAAAGTATTAATTAAAAATAATATCGCAACGATTAACAAGCATGCATGCATGAAATGAAACGTTCATTCCTTTAAAAGTTTAGAACAGTCCCAAATCAGACAGATTTAATATACTCTGCCTTACTTAATTGTTAATCTGGTTTTCAAGAACGTCGTCTTAAAGCTCCTTTTCAGGTAAGCTAAAAGGTGTGACCAATGCAACTAACTGTTGATGAGTTATTTATTATTATTGGTAGGGCGCCGCTGAAACCTTTGCCATTCATCAGAACACGACGCTTTGACATTTGCTAAACCTTATTGGCAGAACTAAAGCTCTCCAAGACTTTTGTATACCTCATAACTGCATCAAAATCCTAAAGAAAATGATATATTTAGCACCTATGAATTATAGTAATGTAGCTCCTTTATTGCTCTACGTTCGTGATCGGAATTTATGAAGTTATTTTTGTCTTAAGGCCATTCTCAGTCACGTAAACAAAGGCGGAAATTGAAATATCTTGGAAAGTCGAGAGGTTATAGAAAGTGCTGGCAAACTGTACCTTTTAAGCCTTGTTTGGCTTAATATACACAATAGATAGCATCAGAGATAACAGAAACAACTTCTAACACAAGCGTTACAGCGAAAAGGTGCCCTCAATATTTCGAGAAGTGAACCGTAAATTGCTCATATATTGTTATCATTTGCTTTCCTTAATCAACAAACGAGGAGTTCACACTAAAAAATGTTTGAAAAACTTGAGGAGCAATGACAAAGATTTAAAAAAAATGATGGAACGTTTTGAAGATTTGTTTAATTTAGGGATTTTATGGGAGTGTCTAGAGTTATTCTCTATAAAACACTGATTTAAAGTCATAATCTTGTTAATGATCCATTGTGTCATTACTCGTTCTGGCGGTGATACATATTATTCCTGTCTTGTGTTACATTTAAATGCATGAACCCTATATAGATGATAAAGTTACAGTTTAATCTGAGATTTTGACGAAAAAAATCCTTGACTTCTAGGAAGCTGATATAACTCTTTCAGTACTATAGTTGGAATACTTGCGAAACACAGTTTAAATATTATAACTTTGTAGGTCGATTTTCTTTAAAGGTGCGTCTGTCATTTGACTTTCTTTTTCTCGTGTCACAAAACGAAAAAAATCGTGCAGTAATGGTCACAATTTGCTCGTGTAATAAACATAATCACATTAACTTGTCGAAGCGGAATCTATTAAAGGAAAGGTCAAGCCTTCTGTGGGCGTTCATTTCCTTGGCCATATTTTTACGCAACTTAGACGCCCACGCCCTACGTGTGGTTAGGACTGTTATTTTCTTGCATTCCATTGGTTGTTTTTGGTTTTGAAAATGCAAGTTAATTGTTAAAACTTCCCGTGAAGCTTGCTTCAAGTCTTTCATTCCTTGAAAGTTTCGTCCTCAACAGGCCGGAAAATCTACAAAATCTTCAGTTTTTGACAATCTTACCAGGTTTGTTTGAGACTTTTAAATTTAGTCAGTTCAGCTTTAGAGTAAATCCCTGTTATCGCTGAAGATCTTTCTCCGCTTTTCAGAAGCGTCCACGCGGTAAAAGGGATTCGTTGCAAAACTCTGGGCACACACACCCACACACCACAATTTTTCTGATATATTTACCATTAGTATTAGTATAGCAAAAGTTCGTATTTTTATCCAGTTGTCTAAGAGCAAAGCAAACGAACGTTAAATTTCCATGTGACATTTGGATAGCGCGGCCAAATTTGTGGTGTCACTCAGTACAAAGCTGTTCGCACGATTTTCAAGTGGTCAAGTGATGAGAGAGTGCGCTCAGCAGTTTGTAAACAAATAAACGCTCTTTCCACTTGCCTTGTGACCTTTTGTGTAATACTACATTGAAGAAAGAAAAAGCTAGGCTTGATGAACGACGTCTTAATTATCTGAGCCTTAAAATTGTCTTCCAGTGACGTAACAACGTTCCATTGGAGCGCTGCTGTTACCCTGATTGAGTTCAAAGACAGCGGTTGAAATTAAGTGCACATAACAAAATCAGGCAAATCTTTGTTTTGTTTACCCTCTGATACACGGGCTGCGAATCAGCACGTCCAGTTTTCACAGTCGGTGTTAATCCTGTGATCAGACAGGATAAGTATGCGGTCTCTCAGTGGTTTATAGACGCAAAACTGTGTACGAATTGCCGAAATCATGCCAACGATGACACAACTATTGTCCTCTCTCTTTGGTCTTTTCAATGAGACGCTCCGAGAGTGAGAAAACCCCGAGGCAGCTCGCTGTCGGAGCAGTGCTATGTCTCAGTTGTCTTCCTAAAATAAAAGGGTTCATGTCTAGCAATGAGTTCTAATAGGATTGATGACTATCCACTGGCATTTATTAAGACCTCAGTAGATTAGGCACGTTATCAAAACATGTACGATTTTTTTTTAAACACTGTGAAGTATGACCGCTTTTCTACAAAACTTTTTTAAATGAAAAGGCTTTTATTCAATGTAAGGATTTTACACGCTATCAGTTAAACCAACATCTGGCGTGGATACGAAATCATCAAATGAATTTGATGGTTTGAAGTCTATTACTTCTCTTTTTCCCTCGGCCGGAAAAAAGAGAGGTTTTGTTTGTTCAGCCAAAAAATGTTTGGACAAACATTAAACCGCAGATAAATTGCCTTTCTTCTTGCTTTCCTGGAGTTAAACAAGTTCTCGTAACTGCTTCCGCTGTAGTAAGAGTCAGAGAACTTCAACCGTCTTTAGAAACCGACGTTATCTCTTATGGCTCTTGAAAATAAAATTTGCCTATCTTGAATTTTTGAAGTTCTTCATCGCTCTTAATCTTTTCCAGCCTCGGTGAGGATAGTATGATCTTTAGTCAAGTTTTTTCCGTTGCTGTCTTGAGTAAACTGAAACTCTGTAGTTTCCGTTAAGGGGAAGGAAGTTGAACACAAGAAAAAAAAATTGACACCGCTGAAATATCATGACTCCGTTCCTCTCAGATGAAGTCAGGAAGCCTACATTCTTTTGCCTCAATGGGAGTGGCTTGTTTTGTTAAGCTGCTTAACTTGCGTCACTCTCAAGGGCTTGAAATGATCAAAAAGAAATAAAATGTTTTGGATTGTCGAAAATGTGATGAGGAGCTCTTCTCTTATGAAGTGTTTCAGCTTTCACGATGGCGTTTGGAAAGACATGCCTAAGGGAATTCCGCTCCTGTCTACATCCGTCATAATACGGACCAACAATATCACGCGATGATAAGGAAATAAGCCAATTTCAGTGATAACATTTCCTTTCATCTTCTCCCATATTTCTGGCCGGACAAAGGTCAACATTTTTTAAAGGGAACAAGGCCTCTTAAATTCAACGAGACTATACAGTTTACTTGCCAAACTATCCTCACTCTGAGTCAAAGTCATTTATTTAGTCAGACAATGCTCTCATCTTTAGCCTGACCCGTAAATTCTGTTGTTTCATTGATAAAAGCTAACTAAATAAAGAGGTAAATATTTTTCTTTAAGGTTCAGTGAATTGAGGAGGAGGAACGAGTACTATATTTTGCGGTTTTGTCTCTTAAATTTTTATTACTGTTTTTCGGGTCTAGTTTAAGTTTTATTTGTGTTTGTGGTTTTCATTTGCCTACGGGGTCCTTCTTGTTTTTTGTTTTAGTTCGCATTGGTAAGACCCCCTTTCTGAATACGCCCCTAAACATGCAGAAGAAAATTAACACAAACAGCCTCCATAACCATCTGACTCGAGAGAATAGTAGTGTGTTGACGTAGAGTTTCCTACTTACAACCTGAAATGTTCTCAGGGAAATGCAGATTAGCTTGGTGATAATGTACCGGCTACGACAGCTATCGTAGAATAAATCAATTGAGTCAGACCGATTTCGTCTCAATTTTTTCGAGTGTCGGACGCGTTTTGCTGCAGTTTTACGCCCTTTCTGCCTACCGACCGACGCATTAGGCGCGCGACCACCTGTGTAGAACATTTGTTTCGTGAGAACCATTGATAAAGCGATCCAGGGAGCTTTTTGATGTAGTCTCTTATAGGTCTTTCCTGATTGATGTTTGTAATGTTGTCAGCTTAAAAAGATCATTTTCGAACTCTTTAAATTGTAAAGGTGAAATTTGCCACACTTTCTAATAACTACTACAGGACTCCACATACTCTTTTGTGGGGAATAGCTGATTCCACGAAAATTACGTACAAAATAATAATATTTATGTGGCTTTCAAAGCAATACAAAGTTTGTATTACTATCCAAAGAAAAGCTTTAGATCATTTGGAACTCACTTTTCTTTTCTCGTTCTGTTGTCAGCTTGCATAGATCAGTTTTGTGCTACTCAAGTTTTTGTAGTGAAGGAATCGGAGCTTTTTCTTTGTTCTGCATGAAAAGCCATCATGGAACAGTCTCTTACTTGCGTGGAAACATTGCTTCCTAAGGAATTAATCCTAAAAATAAGTTTATCCAAAAATTACGTCTGGCCCTAAGTTTATTTTCGTTCCCGTTGATGGCTAGTTTAACAAGTTCCTCTCATTCAAAGGTATCACTCTTTTTCACCTCGTTATTCACCCTAAATTAAATCGAAGATTAATCGAATAATACCGTGAGATGTTCATGTTGCGTGTCAGGCCATGTTGTTCAATTATTCCACTTGACTTTCAACGTGTTTAACCGCCAACGGGTAAATGTATCATGTTTTCAATTTATCGCAATAGTGGACCGACACACGGGTTTTGACTTGCTTGTCGCGGCCCATCATTAGCGAGACAGAGATTGAGTTCCGTAGAATTGCCGATTACTGCGCCTTAAGCTAACATGGAGAAACAGGCGGTGATGAAAATTGCGATGCAGGGGGGATGTTTTGGATCTTAAACGGTCTCAAAATAGATATGTGTAAGACGATTATTTCATTTTGGCGGTACTTCCCACGCAAAAACGCTACGCTTTCACCTTCGCGTCATCTTATGTATGTTAACGAGAGCATATTTTACGGCTTGCATCGGCGAAAATTGATAGAGATCAACTATTCCCGAAGACGCCAGCCATTTCGTTGGGCCACTTTCATTTAATGCATGTGCAATGAGAAAATTTCCATGTCATGGGCTCACTTAAAATAAAAATTACACCACAGCTAAGAAAACTTGTGTAGATTTGTTGCTTATTTCAGTCACGTGGGTTGAATTTCCTCTCTTTCAGTGTAGGTCGCTTTGCATACAAGGAAGACAATACTTGAAAATGTTGTAATAATGAGTTCTTCCTGGAGATCATGCCGTGTACAGTTATCTGTAAATAACGTAATCGTGTTCTTAATTTAGTCGGTTCGCACGGAAAGGAGAAAATTTGTGGAACTTAAATTGAAGAAAATAACTACCTATAAACATTTTGTGGTGCACCGCATAATAGTTGTTTATCACGTAACAATAACGATCGCCGTTTGTTTACTTGTTTGTTTTTTTTTTGTCACGGGGCTAATTGTTTGAAATAATCATCTTTCAACTGGTAACGATCTGAAGGGTGAAATAGGCCACGAATACGCGGAAGAAAATCACCTATTTCACTTTAAAACGATCAATGTAATATTCAACTGAAAAATGTTTAAAAAAATTGCCAAGGTCAACTCATATTTGCCGACCCCAAATACCAAGATTGCACAAGTGAGTTGTTTCTTATTAGGGCTTCGATATAATTTAAACGATATGTTCTGTCGCTGATGTCTGGGATTAACGATTTGTTCTTTCATTTTACACTAGTTGCTTAATAAGATTGGGGTCGGTAATAGAGTAATACCATTCCTTTCTTTAACATACCTTGTTATAAAAATTTCTGTTCTCGAACGATCGATCGTAATAGACAGACAATGACGAGTACATGACAGTTCGATTTACGATATTGACCAGACAACAATGGCTGAAAGTAATAGCATTTACTTGGCGAACCATTTGACACGACATAGCATGTCTTGCTTCGAGACAGATGTGTAACACTGACGTAGCTGATACCCCGAAGAACCGCCGAAGAGTTTTGACACTGGAGCTCACGTTTGGTTTATTTCTTTTCTAGTTTGCTTCTACTTGAACGAATAGCACCTAAACTACCAGAAGAAACCGTCTTTGGCAAGGACAAGACATTCGGTGAGTCTTTTTTTTTTTGTAATATAACGTTTGATCTTGGCTTTCCATACGAGAGACTGAGTATTGAATTGTATAGTACAACTTCTTTATACATGGAGCATTTCTTTCTTTTAAACAAATATTTACTTTTCACCTCATATCTAAAACTTCTCTTTAAAATAACAAAAGCTTGCATGGCTTGACATTTTGCCAAATGGGTCTTTCTACTTGATATTGTTGCAACATTTTCAATTTACGTCGTATGTTTAGAGTAGCTTTGTAAAATGTGCCTTGGTTGATATACTTTAGATATACAGCTTTTAAATTTACTTGCATTTTTTGTATTGATTGTGAGGAAAACACTCGACCAGGGGAATGAAGGAGTGCTTGAGTGTAGCGTGATATCGTGATTTCTGCTCGAAATAGACCTACCGCGCGCGTGGAAATTGAAGTACTGTGCGGCGATTAACCACAAGTTACATTCTCAAAACTACCCTTTGCTTCTCTAGTGGATTGTGAGAGATTTCAATAGGGTATGAGAATAAAAACGTCACTGTTATTTACTCTAGCCTTGATCCAGAACAACATGAAGAGGATTTGATCATGACACTAGACAAAGTCTCAAATTAGACGTTTGAAATATACAAAGAATCTTGGAAATTTAAGCAATTCCGAAATCTGTGAGAGTGACTCATGCGATGTCTGACTATCTGGAATACTTGAGAACATTCTCAGCATCTACCTGTAATGCCCGAGAAAATTGAACCGCACGATAGTTCAACCAGTAAAAAATGAGTTTGTAAACATACCACAGCTTTGAAGGTTATATAACCTCGAAGCTTCCTGGAGAGAGGCATCACAGCGTGATTGTGTTCCTGTGAATGGTCTTTGTGACGCAATGTGCACTAATTTTACTTGACGTTGCAACAAGTCAATAGGTATCCCTGGCATTGAAGATCAAGTTTTTCTTGCGGAAGAATATACATTTTTACACAGCCTGCTGTCAACAAAATGATAAATGTTTATTCAATTATTGCATTCACTAGGGCTAGTTTTATCAAATGAGTGTTTAAAGTACGATTGACGGCAAGATATATACGAAGCGCGAAAATCGAGCGATAAACTCAGATAATCCAGTTCTCATATTCTATGGTTTATCAAGTCTGAAATCAACTTCGAAATTATCACCTCCTTTCAGTCTTTAGGTTATCTTTGAAGTCACACAGGTTTGTTATAGTCCGAGAATTTTCTTTCATCATTCAGCCGAGATGGAGCCATCGATAAAATATGCATTTGTTTCGCGCAGCAGTTCAGTTTGTGACATGAAAATGGGTAGTGATTTCAGCATGGCTAATCGATTAAGGCTGGCCTTACTTTTGGTCTTTTTGTGACGCTTATATTTTTGCTTTGCGCCGACACCTAAATTGCTAATTCTTCTGCTTGTTATCTTTATGCGCCAGTCAGTTCTTTAAAAAAATTATATCGTTTGTTGGTTTAGTTCTTATGAATCAGGGTGAAGATTTTTCCACCACATATCGTGACTATTGACGAAGAAAATACATTCTTTACGAACTGAGAATTTCTGAAAGCCTCAACATTTGACCCTCTCAATGTGAAACACCATAGTCGTGCATTGCAAGCATTTTCGAAAAATATTGAGGGAAACGTTTGATTCTTTGTATGTGGTCCGAAATTAAAGAAACCAAGAGATCCAAGACTTTAAAATCTGAAACATATATTGGTTTCTTTATACATAATTTACTTTGGAAAATACCAAAATAGAGTGAAGGATGTCCTCAGTGACATTCCTCTTTAAATTACTGTGACATATCAGGCCTCTTTCCAGATGATTCCGACCGTAATTCTAGGAAATCTATGACACAGTAATATTATTAGAGCTAATGGATGAAAAGACAAGATTGGCTATGTAAACACTCGAGCATTTTTATGACTCGTATAGTGTTATCTACCGTATCGTTTTCATGAAACCATGCAACGGTTATACTATTGATGTGATCGTAAATTTGCCGATAGCAGATTTGAATTGCGCCTTAATTTGATCTTTATCGATTGTGCTTAAAGTAAATTGGAATCCAACGACAGGTAAAATCTTTTTTATGTCAACTTGTGTATATCTTATTATTTTTTTGGCAAATGATTTGTTACCTTTATACCTAACTGAAAAATCAGTAAAGCAACTACCGCAGCTTTATTCCAAAATTGTGTCCGTCTTTTTACCTTTTTCAAAGTTGTTTCCCTGCTCCCATGATACCCTAGTCTATTTCTTATTCACTTCACTGGGTGTCGCTTGTGGTCATTCGTGCTTCTTCCTTCGATAACGCCGTTTACTGTCACCTACCACGAATCACTCTTTACCGCACTTAGCGTCATACAGACCTTTTCGAAATTCAGGAATCCAAAAGTACCCTTTACTGGTTGCAAATTAGACCAGTTTTTGTTGCTCAAGTACCTTTTAAGTGTATGTTTCAGTATGAGAGTCTTCAGCGAAGTGCACAAGAAATCTTCTAGGATGCAGATACCATTACTCGTGCAATGTTCGACTCACTCGGATTCTCTGTTCACACAAGTATTCAAAGGCAGCGCAGTAAACCTTAGTCTTGGTACTTCATAAAATTTATGCTTTTATTTGAGAAGAGAAAGAAAAATTACAATAATATAAGGCGTCCATTTTCCCCTCAGCTGATCAACATCAGCAATAAAGTAGGTAATGGAAAATGTCTGCACAGGGAATTTATATCTTGCTATCTGATTGCTGAATGCCCTTCGGTCTGAAAAAAAAAAAAAAAAAAAAAAAAAAAAAAAAAAAAAAACGGTTCTCCCAAGGGGATTTCACTGTCAGATTTTCGTGATTCAAAGTAGCTCTAGTAATTGATTTAGGCGTCACAGTAACGATTTTTTTTGCTACTGTCGTCAGCTAAACACATATCTTAATTACAATCCAGGATTTACCTCTTTCAGTAAAATTGCCAAGAGAGATCCTTTATCCAGAGGGCATTATTTTTTTTAAGGATGCTAAATCTGAGATTACCACATGTTGACCTTTGTCATGTTATTTCAGAGCGAAAGAAAACACTCTAACCCAAAGAAAGCATGTGAGGAAGCATTTAATTCAAACAGGAACAGCTCATTAAGATAAACATTTATATTTTACGCAGTCTTAATGATGGTATTTCTCCAAAAGCACGACTTCATCAGCGGTGGTTTAAACCAAATTCGAAAATCGTGCATATCCCCGATCTTTGTGAAAGGATTGACTTAGGTGGTAATCCTTTCGTTGGCCACCAAAGAGTGCTCTCCTTTTTCTTTAACTTTCAGTTTGGAGAGATACGGGTTATACGTAAGAATAATTGACATACCCGAGGACAGACGTGTTGCACATGATTTAACCCTTATCTGTGAAACAGTGTACATCGAGATAAGGCATGATTCATTAATTCTCTTCATCAGTCACGGGGCCTTAGTTATTCGTTCCCCCTTTTGAAAATAAATAGTGCTCGGAAGACCAAAAATTCATAGCACAACTTACATCGAACGGTAAGTCGCATATTTAATAATGAGTGTAACTTAGGGGACGCTTTCTTCATCGAATTTTCTGTCAGTCGTTCCTTTTTTTTGTTTGTATTTTTTTTCTTCTTCTGGCGGAATGTTTTGTAGAGAAAGTTAAAATGTATAAGGTAATTATACTCGTGTCAGCAAAAGTCACGATAAACAGACGTATTAATCTTGGTCAAGACCATATACATCTTTTTCAGGTTGTAGACCGTAAAACTAGTCCTATCTCAACATAAAGTTTCCGTTACACGTTTCAGGGCTCGCACATTTATTATTACAAAACTGAAGTTCCAAGCCACCGATATTTATGGACGATATAGTGCACAAGTATTCCATTTTGCTTCAGGAAAAACGTAATCAAACCATCAATATTCTCATTAAGCAATTGTTATATCAAAATGTGTAGCATTTCGCCAGCTAAGGTCAAGTCTGGCATTATGAGTGTTGTGCTCAATCAAACAACTTGCTCTGTTTCTCATGAGTCTATAAATCCTTCAAAACATTAGGAGCACGTGAATTTTTTGGAGTGCTGTACTTGTTATACCTCATATAATTATGCCACTTGTAATTGGCTTAACTCAGGGCAGTCAAAGTTCCAATAGGTATTCATTGGGAAGAGTATGTCAGCGTGTTAAGCGATTTGGTCGCAAGATTTGTCACTGAGAAGGGATTTTAGACAAAGTTGTAATGGAACTCTCAGATCTGAGCACGGTTTAGATAATTTATAAAAGCAAACGGCAACGTCTTGTTTCACTGCGGCTTGTATTTCTGATGGACAGCGGCGGCCAGTTAGCAAACTGGACTGAAATTGTCCCTGGAAAATAATTCTCTTGGAATTTTGAAACCACTCGCGCCATTACCAAGCATTTTGGCTAAAGTTGCCCATAACACATAAATTTCTGCAACACGCTCCCTGGCGCGCCAAGAAAAACCAAAAAGGATTGTTTAGGAATAGACATAAGAGGCAATGTAGTATCTACCATCAGTTGTCATGCCTTCTGTTTTCCAAATTATGTACCGCTAACAATTTTATTTTCAGGAATGCTGTCTTGGATAGACTAGATTATCGTTAATCTCATTTTCACCGCCCTGACTAAATATTCGCTCAAGATTTGTCCATCTGATAACGACTTAAACCCACGAAATCTTAGTTGGCCTTGCTTTTTACCGTAAGGTTAAATCAGTCTTCATTATTTGGATCACAGCGAACAGCATAGAACTTGATTTAGTGGTCTCGTTAAAGTGTGGAAATCGATTCTCTTTTATCCAAATGTGAGTTGCTTTTTCTACTCTTCAAGAATTCAATTTGTGCTCGAAGGGTTACCTAAACAAAGTTCTACCAAATCATTAACGAATTTAATACTTCTGTGCGTGTTTTCAGCTTAAAGTTAAGTTTTATTACTTTTCATCGGCAAATTTTCATGGGGCATGTTTCGTTAGGTCTGTTTACATTTTCGAAACCTTTTCTTAGATATTTTTCTTTTGTGATGAATGATACGTTCTGGTGGAAATAGAACTTTGAAGAACAAAATCCTCGGTAAAACACATATTAAAACAGTCTCTTGTATCTTGCTGGAAAGATACATTTGAACAAAGGATAAAGGGAAGATCGAGGCATCTTTTTTTCTCACCTAATTCTCAGACTTCTGAGGATTGGCATCGCACATCTCTGATAGACCGTCATCTCCAGCGCGCCTAACTGTGTCCCACAGCAAGGTTGACTTGATTACACTGCATGAATAATTTAAAAGCTCCTGATAAGTATATGAAGAAACTCTCTGTTTAATATCAAAATTGTGATTAAAGATACCATTGATTGCGGCACCAAATTGATAAAACACTAAATGAAAAATTTTGAGCATGTTAAGCCTTGGTCTTGATAAGACAGGTGAAAAATGATATTTTTTTTTAACTGAAATTCTCTATCATTTTCTCAAGAGTGCCTAGCCTGATTCGTAACACGCGCTCAATTTACAAATTTTTACAGAGAAACACTTTTCATTGCCTCTATTGCCTCTGAGTTTCAGTTAATGGCTTTGAGCCTCAGTTCAAAACCAATGGTTAACCACCGGGAGCTCTGTTTAAGTTCAACGTTTTCAAATACATTTGGAAGAACGCATCCTTTGTTAAAATGTAGGAAACTGGGCGTGACTATGGACAGGTCTAATGATACTAAAAATGTCTCACTTTGTCTTTGACAAAGATGCCGCCAGAAACGTTAGACTCCGTCGGAAGTTCTGTTCTTTTAATTCGATTGATTTCGTGAATGGATGACGTAAATTCTTTTCATTTCGAGACTGCGTGGTTAAGTTTAATTTTTTTAACTCAAATTTTTGCATTTTTCGCAATTTTCAACGATACATAAATTCAACATTTTCTCCAAAACGAATAATTTCTCTTTGGGTTTATCAAATTATTTTCTTTCGAAAGTTAACGCCATTTCTGTTTTCAAACTTTTGCATGGTTTCGCGCTTTTTATCAGAGCATAGTTGAATTTCTTCAATAGTATTTAAAGATCAACCCTGCTGTGTTTGTTATGGCTGTGTGGTTTCGTTTGAATTTCTTCCCACAGCCAGTTGTTTTCAGCCACTGTTTTCTTGACTTTGATTTATTGTCTGCCCTCTTCACTCTTCTAGTACAAATAAATTGGATGCACTGTAATACATTTTCACATGGATTGAATTGACATGAATAACTCATGTCTGAGTTTATCGTTGATGTAGTTAGAAAGGTATTAGCAAGAGGTACGTTCGCCTTCGGCTAAGGCCTTGAGACAAAACTCCTATAATCATATCACTCGGAAAAGGTCTTTTACTATCTGCTGCCCAAAAAAGGTTTACTTCAAAAGTCCCATAAGTAGTTATACCGGCTGAGAGAAAGAGACCGAGGAAGTTTAGGTAGAGGAGACAAAGCGGTGGTGTATTTTCAGTCATTGAAAAGTCCTCCTAATTATCTTTGATGGATGTTTTTTAAATACGCAATGTGTGCCAAGTGTCAGACAGTTCTGGCGACAGCATTTTTGTTGGCGGCCGTACAAAACTAGATTATTTCATTAATTATAGTTGTACGTAGATTTGCCTTTAGTCGAATTTAAGAAATTAATACAGAGGATCAAAAAGGAAAAACAATTTAACGTGCTTAAGTATTGCGATTCTTAGATCAAGGATACACAATTTCTTAAAATGCTTTGGAATTTTCAACCAACTCTTAATTAATGCCTTAAAAGGAAAAGCAAAACTTGATTTCTTTGGCTCACTCACACTGACGATTAAATATTAACCCTTTCACTCCCAATAGTGACCAAGACAGAATTTCTCCTTAAAATATCAACACGATCTCAAGTGAACAAGTGATGAGAATATAGAAAAATATCAATTAGTGGATTATCATTTGATTCAATACCAAATTCTCCAAACTAAAACTATAAGCAGTGTTTGGTAGATAGTTGGGAGAATTACTAAAGAGATTATGGGAAAGGGTTAATAAGTTTCCAAATGGAAAAAACATATCCTCGCACGGAGACCAAACATATCCTTATTCATCAGCCGAACGTGAATAAGTTTCCTCTGAGTGACTGTGAGACCCAAGTACTCCTTATCGTCTGTGTTCGTTTGCCTTTTCTGTTGGTTTTTTTCCTTATTTTTGAAAGATTAATTGCAGGAGAGTGGTTAGTGAAGCATTTTCTCACATTGAAATGTTTGCATAACTTTGGAACGCCTGGATGCCTACAATGTACCCATACGTGGATAAATTCAATCTTATAAAATACACAGCTGATGTTTAGTGTTCAACAAAGTATATCTTTTGTTTTTTCTAAATGCTGTATTTGCTTTTCTTTGTCGGAGATTCCGTACCCCCCAGGGAATGGTTTCGAATTATGCTCTTGTCTTAGCCACAACAAATCAATTTACCTTGTGTACAAAGGCGAAATTAATTAAAAAGCGAAAATTCCAGCTAGTTGTTGCTAAGAATGCAGAATATTTTCTTTGTTTGCGAAATGGTATGATGAATATTTTACTCGAGTTGACAAAGTTTGCGCGCATGGAACTAAAGGAGAGGGAGGCTAACAAAAGCAAATCTGGAAAAGAATTCAGGTCGAGGCTGTAGTAAGCGAAGTTTTCATGACAGGTTTGTTTTCGATATTTTCTTTGCACGTAGGGAATAACACCATAAACAGCGAAATAAGCGAGAAGTAGCTGGTTACATTCGACTCACGTTCGAGGATAGGTGGCTGCTGTTCCAGGTTATCTAGTGAAACTCAACTACAAGCTGCTTCACTTTCTCTCTGAGCATTAAGTAACGGAATTATGTAATTTTGAGCTTGAGCAGTAATTTACGAAGTAACGGCCAGAACAGAAAGTTTAAACGGTTTGTTATATAATATTGCGCAAATAAGGTTATCGTAAAAGTATAGCTGGTTTGAAAATGCAGACGGACTACTATTTTTTGTAGTATTGTTTGGCAATGGATCAGCACTTTAAAGGAAGTCATCATACGTATTTCACATTTGAATTGTGGAAACTGACTCATATTTGACAGCAAAGTCTTGCATAACTGGTGGAACGTTGTAACAAGGGAGTTTTTGAAGTAGTCTCCTGCTGCTCTCTTAAGGTCACTGAATAACGTGCGGCTGCGTGGAGTCGGTACCTTGACGCACTCTTATATCGACACAGGGCTTTCTGTGCTTGTCTATTGAAACGCGCTATTTGTTAGACAAAGAAAAAATTGCGACTTCTTAATCCAGCCTTTTAACACTGATGGTTTAGAGTTGGATTCTGGTAATACTAGGAATAGCTGAAAGTTGATAGGAACCATGGCGGACTGGTATCTTCGATCGTCTCGAAAGTTTGTTATAGGTTCCATGCCAGTTCATTTGAATAAAGTTTTGCACCGTGCAAAGCTATCAAATAAGAGCCAGATGAGATGCAAAAAAACCTAAAGTCAAAAATAGGAAACAATAAAACTTTAAGAGAGAACGAATGACTAAAGATGACGAAGATTGACAAGGATTATCATGATTGCAAATGAGGAACTTAAAGAATTTATCAAAAAAACGTGACTTAAACAAAGTAGCTCTCATAACAGCTTTCAATGCGCAGCTTGGATCTTACATCTGGACGTTCAAGCCCCAAAATCCATCTACGACGGAAGACAAATGATTAGTACTGTGTTTTTTTTTATTTTTTAAAGAGAATCCAGAGCAATTTCGTTTCAAGACCAGTTATAATTGATGTAAGTGTGATCAAAGTTGCGGGGTAAGATTAAAATCGTGTCCGTAAGGTTTTCGTGAGTAATTTTTTTTTGTACAGCTCTGAACTAAACTACCTTCCTAAAGAAATGAAACTTTAAGTCCAAACGAATGCTTTGCGAGCTTGCAAAAAATAACGGAGAACTTACAGATTTTGTTTTTCTTCTTTCGCAGAATAAAATGAAGGAGCAAATGTTATTATTGATTCTCCTAGTCGCGTCATGTTGGAAATCCACAACTGCTTTGGGTAAGGAACGTCTTTCAGTTAAACATGATCATTGCCCAGTAGCATTACATATCGTCATTTCTAGCCTCGCAGTATGCAGGAAGTTTGAAACCATTGACCTTGGTAAACGACCTGCCACTAGTCTCCTATAGCTCAGAGGTAGAGAATCCAATGTACTAATCGGAATGTCATAGATCCGACTCCTATTGGATGCACTCGGGTCTTTTTCTCTGAGAAGGCCTGTGTCACTCACAAACTGACATCAAACTTAATAAATATTTTGAATAAAATTTTTCTACAATTTTAAAAATTCGTAAGCTACAGTCTAACGTGTAAGTGCTTATATTCATGTTTATTTAAATATGCATTTATATCTATATTTTTTCTTGTTCTATTCACTAATGGTATATTATCCTCATTAATCATTGACATTTTTTCTTTTTATCCGTAGAAATAAAGGTACTGTCGTCTGTATTCGAAAAATCAATCAGCCCTTTGGACTATAACGTACGAACAATCTTCACGCCAGAGAGAAGAAAGGCGTATCTCTTTGGAAATGCCATTAAAATTATCCGAGCTGACGAGGAACTTTTGAACGAACTTATATTTAATATTGAATCAAGTACGGAGTTCATTATCAAAACTCGCTTCCGTATCTTTGCAAGCCCAGGGGGTGTTCTTTTCTCTATTGTACACCGTCAAAGAAAGCTGTTTCTTCTGGAGTTGTCTTCCAAGGGATCTGGCGATAAAACAAAACTTATATTCAAGTACAGATCGACCAATGACACGACCGAGGCTGTCGTATTCAAAGAAGTTGGGTCTTTGGTGGATCGTGGTTATCACACGATAGTTATTCGCATCACAGATGTCAAAGACAATGGAAAAAAAATTTCGGCGCTGTCTCTTTTCGTGGATTGTCAGTTTGCTGGCCGAGTTGACACTAAATCGGCCATCTCGGACATCTTCTCCTATAGAGGCACATTGCTCTCATTGTTGGATTTCCGCATTGCACAAAGAGGATTTGGATCCAAATCCAACTCGAAGTGGAGGGTAATTTACATTTAGTGAACGATAACCCAAAATTTGCTTAAAGTATGCAAAAGAAAACCGAGCAATCGGAAAATTCTAAGCTTCGACGAGATGTCGAAAAGTAAAAAATCTTGGCTTATTCGCGCCTAATGCAGTCTGGGGAATATCACTCGGGGAATTTTACCAGCTCATTCTTTGTTTCTAGTTGAGACTGAGGAATGATTGAAAACGTGGGGTGAGGAATTATTTCTGGTAATTATTGGTACCTTGCGAATTCTGACGCTCTGAACTAGCTGACCTCCAAGAGAAGTCGGAATCCGTTATAGCAACATTACCGTCAGTCGTTTACCTCATAATACTAGTATTCCCTGGAGTTCCACGACATGAGAGAAGCCAAATTTTGCATGTTGCGTCTTAAACATCTCGTTTCCCTACAGCACATATACTAAAGTTCTCTATTTGAGTGTTTCACTTTTTCTCTCAGGGCGCCATAGAATCGCTTTCATTCATCTTCAAACGCCCCTTGGACAGTGTCCTTGGTGGACCAGACTGTGAAAGCGCTGTTAAGGAGGGAGGTAACCAACTGAGAACTTCTACTTGTAAATTTTTAGCTAATCCTGGAAAAGAAATGTATTCTCTATCGTGTTCTGCTGTTGTCTTCCCGTTAGTGAAAGCTCCTCAGCCACCGGAGATAAACGATATAAGCGTAATTACTCATGAAGTGGCTACTGAATTGATGGGCCTCATACGGGATATTCGATACGACTTATCCATGCAGGTAAAGTGTTTGCGTATTGCTCACGTGATATTCTTATGTATAAATCTAGGCGGTATTAACAGGAAAAAGTAAAGTTTTCCACGTTATTTTGGATGGAAAAACAAGATAAGTTATTCCACTATACTTCATCCTGCCCAGGAACCTACTTGCTAGATTTTGAACCAGGAAAGCTCTCCAGAAGTTTGTAAATTGTTGTCCCAGTAGGCACTAATAAAGGAAATTTTCTAGCGTCTCAGGCTTTTGCGAAAGTTAAAGTAATTAGTTTTCCATGTTAAGTGTACTTGACAGGAAAATCTTATTTTAAATGCAACGTCAGCAGAAAATTATCGGAGGCCTTTTCCAAATAATGTCATGAACAGTCCACCGTAAGGAAATAGGCTAGACACGTGAAAGTAAAACCAATAGATTTTCGTTTGTTTTGTGAAACAAATAAGGCCGCTAGTTACGTCATGCTCATGCACATGCTCCAACGAATTAAAGTTAAGCCCTCCTTAAGAACAGCTTTCTGATGAGTGGCTATTCATTCATTTAAGGTGGCTGAAATCAAGTACTTGAGAAGGCTTGTGGAAAACTGTCAAATGTGTCGAGGTTAGAACACTTCATACTTAAGTAAATTGGAGGGTTTTGAGGTTTGGGTATAATCAGAATAGGAGCCTGAAGGTCGATTTTGCCTGAGCTTATCCCAGTTTCAGCAGAGAGGCATCCCTTCGACACGTTACCAGTCCATTGAGGGAAGATCCGTGTGTTTCGTCATTGATCCTGACTCTTAAGTGGTTAAATTGTTACTCCTGCGTAAAATGAGGCACTCTGACAGTTAGACGTCTCGTCCAAGAATACGAAGCAGTTATCCGGTCTTACACTCGTAACTTTGGATCCGAATTCAACCGCAGTAATTACCAAGCCATCGCGGCTTCTGAACACTTTTTTGGCACCCTTCTTAATAGTTGAACACTGTACTCAAAATCTGATTCATCTCAGTAGGCAATTGCATGCAGCAGCCTTGGCAGGACGTTTTTGATAACCCGTCGGCTCATTTTTGTGTCTTGTGATTTCATTCCTTTATCGTCTTCATTTCCAATCTTTTACTTCTCATAGTCCAAGACTTCTGCCGTTTTAAACCATGTTTTCCTGGCGTACCTTGTTTCAACGATCCATCTACAGTTAAAGGATTTGAATGCGGAGAGTGCCCACTTGGAATGATTGGAGATGGTGTCAACTGTTCAGATGTTGATGAGGTAAATGTTGCAATTCATATGTTTAAAAAGAATGCTAGATTCTCATAGAAATATGTGGTTAAAGCTTAGCTTGTTTGCGGAATATACTTCTGCTTTTGCGTACATGTATATTTCTGTTAACTGTGCGCTTGTTTCTTTCATCTAAGTGTCATGAAGAAGACCCTTGCGCCAAAGACGTTGGGGTGATCTGCCAGAATCGAAGTCCCGGATATTGGTGTCCTCCATGTCCTAAAGGTTACTCAGGCAAAGAGATTCATGGGATAGGGTTGTACTTCGCTAGGAACAACAAACAGGTATTGAAGGACCCAGCTTTTCCTGTGAAAAGCACTTTTATGTTGACGTAACTTCAATTATTGTAGAAAAGAGCCGTGAAAGTTGTTAATAAAAAATACAAAGCTTTGCGTATCTATTGCGCACACAGTGTGCATATTAAATATTGAAGTTCGCCAACAATTAAGTCCATCTAAACTATGCATTTGATAGGGGTTTATGAACAAATCCTAATACATGTTTAACAAGCGTAATACAGGATTAACTGCCGTGACGATTTGTTGTCTTGCATAGATTTGCGTGGATATTGATGAATGCGCAGAGACTCCACGTAAATGTGCTGAACAGTCCAGGTGCAATAACAGCCCGGTGAGTAAATCTCCCAAGATCATGCCCGAATAGTAATAACCAACCAATTATATTTGTTTATCCATTCCTTGATCAGTCTGTCAGTCATTCAGTCGGTCAGAAAGGGACCACTGAATAAAGCAGTTATGGTAAGCTAGTCGAGCGGCCAGGAAGCAATATGGAGGACTGGACTGTTTTAGTCGGTCTGTCTGCCTTTCTGACCTTCTGTGTCTCCATGATTGACCACCTTTTTAAAGTTGGTGAGTTTTGTTTCGGAAGGTCAAGCGATCGATGCTTCCTTTCTGGGGTCAATCGATCGATGCATCCATCAGTTAGACCATGCTGTCGCTCACTTCAGTCTGCATCTTACAGTACACATGCATCTGCACTGCATCTGCAGTACACATCTTAAAAATCATTGCCCCCTTTGCTTACTCCCAGAATTAGAAAAAAATTTTTCTAACCTTCTCTGAACTATCTTTGTTACAGGGATCATACGATTGTTCGCCTTGTCCTGAGGGATTTACCGGTGATCCAAGACACGCATGTTACCATCTGAGTTACTGCGATCCAAACGATCCCAGAAGCAATCCTTGCAATCAGCATGCAAAATGCATTCGACTTCAGAGCGGTCGAAACTACAAGTGCGAGGTACATTTTGTAAACTCTCAACTTTCAGCCTGAAATTGGACTCGCTAATTTAATTTTTTGAGTCATGGTCATTTCTTAAATTGAGCTTTCTCTGGTACTGACTTAGTTTCATTTTTTTTTGAAGTGTCGTCCTGGTTATGCGGGAGAAGGTCACTTGTGTGCAGAGGACGGTGATTTAGACGGTTTTCCAGATATTGAACTAAACTGCACAGAAAAGATATGTCGTAAGGTAAGAGAAAGTACCCTCTCCTGTCCTCGGTGCATCTATTTTCCCACGACTGCAGCGAGTCTTTTTTAATGTAGAACTTCCCATGGGTGGAACATTAGTTGGATCAGACTGAACAGTTGACGAAAAATTAGCTAGAAATTGTTTCACGACCATTTTCTACGTGACATTTAAACATCTATTCGAATCGAATAGTCTTCGGAATTTGATCCAATAGATTTTGGTGACACCAGGATATCAGCCAACTACTTACATTTCCGCTCGTTTGCGAAGCTGAATATCTCATCTTATCTTCAAGGATGCATCCTGTTTCTAAATTTAACGTGACCGTATGGAACAAAGGCTGTCCAGTTTAGAATTCCGTTTCACTCTTGCAAGTCATGTCTATTTCTCTGGTCCTTAATTACTTCGCTTATCTCTTTTAGGATAACTGTCCGCGAATACCAAATCTAGATCAGAAGGACCTCGATGAGGACGGAATAGGTGACGTATGTGACGAAGACCTGGACGGGGACAACGTTAACAACGATGTGGTAAGTATTACACCAGACAGGTGCACCATAAACAAAGCATGTCTTTTTTTCTAGCGTTTTGAGTGAGTTTCCCCGCTCAATGTTCATCTTGTTACAAAGCAAATGTATTAGATATTGGAAAAACCATCTTATTCTTGATGTCCGAAAAATTTTGTTATCGATTCAATAGAGGTTGCACTTTGCAAGAGTGTTGCGCATGTGATGTGTTTGTCATGATTCAATTACTTTAGACATCGGACCTATAACTTGGGTGTCGCTGAGGAAATTGCAAGTGCTAAAGACAATCTTACGCAATGACCACTAATTGCGAATTCCATCCTCGTTTTCTTCGTCAGGATAATTGTCCCCATCATTATAACGCAGGACAAAGCAACGTCGATGGCGATCCATTTGGCGACGAATGCGACAATTGTCCTTACGTCACCAACAAGTTCCAGGGCGATATTGACAAAGATGGAATAGGCGACGTATGCGACAAAGACGTGGATGGAGATGGTAAAATGATTTGTTCCTCTTTTGCAAATTTCAATACAGACTATTTTACTTCATAATTCTCTTTTTCCTTGCTCATTTTGATCAAATTGAAAACACGGGGTTAAGAAAGAACATGGGATTAAAAAGAAGAACGCGGGTTTAAAAAGAGTATGCGCACAACGGTTGCGATAAACCTTGGTGTCGTTAGAGACTTCCTGGTTGATGTCTATCAGTTGTTAACTTCATATCTCGTCCCTTCCAAATATCAAAACTGATCGAATTCCTGTCACCCGAATTGAATTTAGAACACTGCACAATTAAGCCACTTTCAGGTAGTCATTTTGCGGGAGAGTGCTACTAAGCTGGGCTATAGAAAGAAATAGAAAAGGTAATTGAAGTCACTCGTAAGAACTGTGCCGTTTTTTCCCTCGCCCGCTCATATGTTAGTCTCTTTTGCCCGATAGTCTACCACAGGCTACCAGAATTTGAACAAGAAGACAGCTTTTCAACCAAATAGCCTCACTTGTCTATATCTCTTCACAGGCGTATTAAACTCCCAAGATAACTGTCCAGTTATCTACAATCCAAAGCAAGAAGACAGAGATGGAGACACAGTTGGTGACAAGTGCGACAACTGCCCCTCGACAATGAACAGCAAACAGGTGACTAAGAGGAATTATACAATGAGCTAAATCACACGTGCCTTTTGATTAGTTCTTACTCAAGACAAGCGTTTCTTCTACCTTAAAAAGCCGGGCGAGCATTTTATTGACTGTCTACATGTTGATTTATTTATAGATTGACAGAGACAGCGATGGACTGGGAAATAACTGTGACTTGAACAGAGATGACGATAACGACGGCGTGGATGACATGATCGATAACTGCAGAGGAGTTACCAACCCAGACCAGATAGATAACGACCAAGATCAGCAAGGTTGGCAAAACACATTATTTTCCTAATATTTTAATGATAACTAAGATGATAACAATAACAACAACTACAATAACGATGATTTAAAAAAATCGACAAAAGAAAAAGTACTCAACTTAATGTACGCATTGATATATTAAGCATCATCGTGTTTTTAAGGGACCTCAAGTAAATACAAAAAATACAATAAAAAACGAGAATAACCTTCGGTAACCTACAGCTTAGGGTAGGGCGACATGGAAGAAGAGGGAGGGGGGGAAAGGGGTGGACCAGGAAAGAACACGACTTTCCTGTCCCTGTGCTTTTCCCCACCGTCCTTCTCCTCCCTCTTCCCATCGTCGAACCACGAAGAAGAAATTTCGTACTTTATCCAACTTAACTTCCTATTCCATAAAAATCAGATTTACGATCATACCTTTAACGATGGAATACTGAACGCTGGCCAAAATACGCCGAGGAGTTAAGTTAAATGCCAAGCAAATCAGAGTTTTATTAGCTGCAGTGAGCCACAGTGCAGAAATTGTTGTAAAAAATCATTTCTTTTGTCTTCATCCAGGTGATGCCTGTGATGACGATGACGATGATGACGGAGTTCCGGATAGAATTGATAACTGTCAACTGGTACCCAATCCTACTCAGCGAGATTTGAATGGTAAGTAAACCTATGCTGTCCTTTAAGAGCAAGTGACGCTGTGTTTAATCAGCATTTTGACTTTTACATCGATCTGTAGTAAAATTGTCAACCAACGATTTCTGCTCATTTCAGGAAACGGTCTCGGAGACCCCTGTGATGGCGATTTCGATGGCGATAAGATCCCGGATTATGAGGATGCGTGCTCGATTAATCATCATGTGACCCACACAGACTTTACCAACCTGATAAAAATTGATCTTAGTCCAACTGAACGCCAAAGCAGGCCACCCATCTGGGCGGTGGATGGGACGGTGCGAAGATGCCTTATTTTGATGGAAAATTAAATGTTACATGGTTCAGTCGTTTTACCAACCCGTAGGCCAACTCTGCTAGTGTATATCCGGTTACAGGAGCCATCCCACAACTAGGAATCTAGCTAATCCTCTCAAATGGGATTCCAGTCCATCGTAGAATTACTCCTCGGCTTTTGTTAAGTTCCCCGACCAGTAAGCCGTTACCTGCACATTAGCACATTAGCATTTGCCACTTATCCATCTCCTCTCCCACTCAGTTTTTTGTGGGTGTGGATAAGGTATAAGAACCATTCAAGGAGAGCTCTCGGCGCTCTTCTTTAAATAAGGACCTTACCTCTTTTAACCCATTATAAGTTCTACCGTTTGTTGTCCTTGCTTCGAAGGTTTCCCTTCGCGGTCTCTTTTTTTCAGTCCTTTACAAAGACCAACACTCCAAATTCCAATTTTGACCTAGAAATCTGTGGACAGAGAGCTACCTTGAGGAGCTGCCACTGCTGAATTACAATGTATCATGTTACAAGTAGATGATGACTTAAAGTTTCTGATTGCTATGTTTTTAGGGCACTAAAGTATCAGAAGAAGAGAACAGTGATCCGGGGATTGCTGTCGGTAAGTGTCAAAGATTCCCTCTGTAGCAGCCTCAGTTAGGGAAGTTGCGCAGTGCTTGGTATGTCATTGGTGACAACGGAGGATAGCAAAGAGACCAGAATAAAATTTGTGTGTTTGACCTAGAGCAAAGTACGGCCTGCTGTAAGATGGCCAACTTTGGTGCAACCCGCTATCTCGAGTATGTTTCCCAGAAGCAGACATAATACTCTTCACAGATAACCCACAACAACAGTCAACCAAGAAAACTTGTCAAGTGTAAGACTACCTTTGACTCGCATCTACTCGGTTGATGAAGTGGAGACATTTACCTACCGTACATTAGTCATAAGAAGCAATGTTGGTTTCAAACCAAAGTATTAATTTAAAATGTTTGATCCTGTGACTTGAGTGAAAATAACTAATTTTTGACTCTCTTACAACTTTAGGGAATGTTCGGTTTAACGGTGTGGATTTCAACGGAACACTTCGAGTTTCAACAAAACACGATGACGATTTCGTGGGATTAGTGTTCAGTTACCAAAACAACCGACAGTTCTACGTCATATCATGGAAACAGGAAGATCAAGTGTACTGGGAAATGCAACCGTTTAGGGCAAAAGCAGTAAAAGGAATACAAATTAAGGTAATTCATACTTGAGTAAACATTTTATAGTTTTAAGATGAGTAAAGTTCAGCGTATCAATTGCGGATTCACCATACTTTCCTTAGCCAGTTTCGAAGTTTCACTGATTGCCGGTAACGAAAACTCGTGACGCACATGGGCAGCTCTTAGGTTTGCTGGGGCCTGGTCCCTCTTCCCCACCTGCCCCCTCCACAACACAAGTAATTTTCTTCACTGCGTAACATGGGAACTTGAAGAAATTTTGTCCGTTTTCTTATTTGTTTCTTTGATTCTTTATCTTGCAGCTTATTGATTCTAAAACTGGTCCTGGATTTGCTCTCAGAAATGCACTGTGGCATTCTGGTGACGTAGATGGAGAAGTAAGTAAAAACTTAGAAATGACAACTCCTTTGGCCTCTTGGTATTAGCCCACCCCTTTGGGAAACTTACGCCTGGTTACCAAGCTTTGATTTTAGCGCCAGTTATGCATTTTTCTAGCTCAGTAACCACGTGAACTACGAGGGTGAACTTTCCAGTTCCGTTCCGGAAAGAGCCGAGGAACTCGTATTTCATCTCCATCATTACGAAAATCGTACCCTTACATTTTTCCGAGAAAAAAAACGTATACTATTGCAACTAAGATCACACTTCAAATTCCTTTTGGATGTACCTCAAACAAACAAAAAAATACATATAATTTAAAATTGGTCTCAGAAACCAAGGCATTAGAACTGCATCAGTGTACGAGGAACAAACTAATCTGGATGCCATATCTCCTTAGAGTAAAGAAATTTGGCGAGACAGCAAGGAAAGAGCATGGATGGACGAAACAGATCATGAATTTAGGCTGATGCACAGACCGTCCATTGGACTAATAAAGTAAGTCTAAACAGTTATATTTCACTAATCTAAAGAAGAAAAGATACTATGTCGGAAAAGTTAGGAAAGGTGAATTCTGTTCGATCTTTACCAGTCGTCGTGAATTCTCCAAGCGACCTTAATGTAACCAAAATGCTTGAAAATGACCGTGAAACAACATTGTGTGGTCTATTTTTTAATTTACTGTAATCGTTATTTTATTAGACTGGTCGTTTATGCTGAAGGCGAGATAGTAGTGGATACCGGATATATAATTGACAAGACTCTCAAAGGCGGCAAAGTCGGGATGTATGTGTTTTCACAAGGGCAAGTGCTGTGGAAAAATCTTTCATACAGATGTAGTGGTAAGTGTCGATGTAAATGCCTTGGTACCCACGCACGCACGCACCTTAGATTTCACAGCGTTGCAAACGTATCTGCCAAGGCTGTAAACTCGATAGTTCCATTTACCTAGTCGAGCAAGCTACATAAAACTGCAAAGCTTTCTCTAGCTGCTTTCTCCGCATTACTGACAAGAAACTTTCCATTTCTCTATAGAAACTATCCCAGAAGATTACCAGGCTCTTTGATCAACCTAGAGGTCGACACTGAGATGTATCGCTTTATGATGGAGCAATAATAACAGGACTAAAGAGCTTCGGGTCCCAATGTGCCACCAAGGGATTATTTGTCAATTTACCTCTTTCCACGCTGGCTGGTGGGAAGTTCCTTTCACAAGTCATGGAGGCGTAGTCTGAGATACAATGTCGTAAAGATAACGCATGCTTTTCTTGTTCAACACAAGATTTAAATGCCGCAAGTGCGAAACAAAAGTGTATACTCAAGAACCCAGAAATAGATGTTTATGAATGTTGTGTCCTTTGCAGCATTTTGCATTTTATAGAGAAGATTCTGAGTTAAGTAATTAATGATATTAAGAGAGATGACATTTCTTAACAAACATCATCCCAAATAAACAGGGTGAAGGTCAGTTATCGATGCTTCTAGTCATAGATAGCGCGAAATAAAATGGAGAGTCGCCGATGGCAGTTTATAAAACTCTACAGCTCAAAAATCTAGACCGTGAACGAGGAATTTCTCTCAAACCTAACCTGAATTTACAGAAGTACGTCTTATAACTGCCGTAATGCATCCTGGGATATTTAATGGGTAAGTCTTAGGTTAGCACAATATTAATTCTGAGGGCGAAATTCTCGTTCGTAGCCTTGCTCCAGGACCTCGCGGTGATAGTGACATTATGAATGACCTTGTTAGGAAAATTTTTTTTTCGGAATTGTATATATGGTCTGTAAATGTACGCAAACGAACAATTAAATATCTCATTTAATACTGCGTTCTAAGCAGTGCAAAGAGAAAAAAAATGAGTGTACTCAACTACGTAAATTATGCCACTGAAAAACGCGGTAAAATTGTAAAACGACTTAGCTGTGAATCAGACGAACGTGGACCGATTCGCTATATTGGGCCTCAAGAGAAATTAACAGATAGAATTGATGAATAATCCGCTAGTACTTTTGGTTGTCAAATACGGAATAGCTACTAAAAGTAGGTATTACATCTATAATTATTGGTTCCTTATTGTTCGTAAGGTTTTCAATCAGGTCCACGGAATTTAATTTTAGTTTTCTCAATACTGGTCGATACATGCTGTCTGAAATTACAATAACACAACAATAAAGGTCTTCCAAACGGGTTGGGACCTTAATTCGAGAAACGCCAGGGACTCCAATATTTGTCAAAGGAATTAAGCAAGGAATTTGACGATTATGGCAATTATGCATGAGTAAACTAATAAAACTGCGGCCTTCGAGTTCCGATTTCCGTATGAATTCTTGAGACCATTATTTACCAAATAACGGTTCTGGCCTCCAGCGATCAAATAAGTCTTTTTCAAATCAAGCTCAAGAGGACGACACTGCAAGAATTGATCTGGCAATCAAGAAACATCGAACTTCACAAGTACAGAGTTAACGCGTTTCTTTAGCGTAGCTGTTCCGCGTAATACATCAACATAATTCTCTTCGTTATCGGAGATTTATTCAGTAAGGTCGTAAGACCGCTCACTTTTTACATTCATGTAAATCCACAGATTATATTACACAGTTTTTAGCAAGATTTCCGCACAGCTCCCTACTTCATTATGTATACAGTTCTAGGATTAACCGATTGACATTGAGGCTTTGTTTTCAAAAGTATGGGGTTCTACGGAAATCTTTAACAGTTAACTGCTCAAATATAGTTCTTAAGTAAAATTGTTGTTTTGTTTGTACCATTTCTGCCGCAGCTGTTGTGAACTTTGGTCGACAGTGTGCACCAAGGGAATGCCAGGTCGTTACAGCGATTTTGACCGGCTTTTTGATAGGCTGATGGTTCCCTGAGGATATCATTCACCAATGGTAAATCGTTCTAATCATCCGGAAAGGGAAGGAAAAATCTTTGCACCCAATTCTTTCGCTTAGTCCTCCAAAAAATGTCTGAGTGTAAAGACGATCCCCAAATACTATTTTTCGAGTTGAAGCAAATAGCAAGTGGCCGCGTTCAGTGCAATATATATCGCTACCTTCCAACCATCCTCTCGCTGACAATCAACTCAGCTCTACCACGCGTGGGGCCATTCATCTTTATCACTACTTGCTGAGGTATCTTGGACGATTTGCTTTCAACTTGAGACCCCAGTGTCTTCTGTAACAATGGGGGACACGTCGGCACCCTTAACGTGCACTGTATGCATAACTAAATTCACGCACATGTGTACAGGAAACAACACATAAATGGGATACCAGGAAGCTACTTGAACTATACGACAATTAGTAGATGCACGTACGCAAAAATAGACTGAATAGTCAAACTGACCTTTTGGAGAAGTAAGTCAGCAGGTAGTTGACTTACAACTTAAGAGCAGAAAAAGGAAGCAAATTTAAATGCAATTGTACTGTGTCTGCTGCATTTGAGCTCACAGCAGAATCTGGTTACATGTACAAAGATACTACATCGACTCTTAAAATCCATACTTTGACTGAGTTTGTCTGCGAGTCTGTCGATTAGCCGACCACTGTTGGCGTAATTCCAGCTCTCTCTCTTTAGCCTACAAAAGGAACAAAATTCAGATACAACTCGAAAAAATTATTTGGTTTAGAATCGTACGCAAAGAACGGAGAATACAATCATACTGGCAGTTAGTTTTAATAATGCATTTTACTGATCTAAAAGTGACATGGACAACGAACGTTTTAGCCCTTCCTTCATGTCGCAAAAACTCACATAAGACAGTGAAAACCACCAATCGTGCTTACATCCGCGCTCACTTGATGTACAGTGTCCTTGAATTCTATGGATATCTTTAACATTTACATTCTATACTTTATCCACTTCAGTAAACAGTTGCACGTATATTTAAATACCCATAACAATTGATGAGCCAAACTAACACGCCGGGAGATGGATATAAAGTGATTCCCGTTTGTCTGAGAGACAGAGTCTGATAAGTGTGATGTGAAACCCGCGCAGGCGCCAGTCCTCCCATCAAAACTTACCTGATAAGCCAAATAAGTGATCTGATGTTTTCTTCTTTGTTGAGCTGTTGGCATGTCTTTCTTTTTCTGTATATAAAAGCAAAAAGAGACACGAGTGAATGAACAGCGAACGTTTCCTCTTCAGCTAACATGAGCACATTACACCATTCAAGTTTTGATCAGCGCCACAGGCAGAGGAAAAACAAGTTCCGATTGCTCCTCCCAAGAAGAGTCCAATCTAGGATTTCGAAAATCCCTCAGCAATCATAAACAATTGCTTTACGCTGTATCAGCATTTCTTCGCCCGCGAGTAAGTTTGGGGCCGGGAGCAAAGCGAGCCAGCGAGAGGTCTGCAAGGGATCTGGAACTAAGTACCAGACCACTCGCAGAACTCTTGAAGGTTTTTATTGCTCAAGGACTAAAATTTATGGGCGGGTGGAAAGAGCAAATAATAAGGGCCTCCTCGCAGGATAGCACTGCTCAACCCTTAAACTCCCATAAGTGACCAAAATAGAATTTCTCCTTGCAATTGCGATACAGTTTCGAGTAGATTAGTGATAAGAATAAAGAATACTATCAATTAGGGGATTAGTAGTTAATCCAACACCAAATTCTCCGTATTAACATCACGAGGATTGTATGGAAAAGAGTAAGGAGAATTACCACTGAGATCTTGGGAGTGAGATCTTGGGAGTGAGATCTTGGGAGTGAGATCTTGGGAGTGAAAGGGTTAAGCCTTAACCACAAAGTCGATCGGAAGACCGAGGAATACGGACTGTGACCTATGAATTACACACAACGGAATATTTGTTTGTTTGTTTGGTTCTTTTTTATAATAGCATTAAGTATTCAAGATATAAATTCCGTGTTAAAAGAAAGAAAAAATTGTAACATCCTTTACCCGAGAAGGTGCATACGCAATTTCTTCGGTTCCGTATTTCGTCAACATCTCAGCTGAGTTCCCTATTTGATCGTCAGCATTAATATCAACTATGTTGATTTCTTCGCCACGATTTCTTCTTCCTTTGAGTTTCTTCATCTGAAAAAATTACATGCAACCATCAGGAAACTATTTAATTTATCCTTTTTGGAGCTACAAGTCGGTTTGTGCATGTTGAAAGATTGGAGACAATTCCCAGGGTATACAGTATGAGCAAAATTTTGTCACATATATATTGTGGCTAATACATCTCAAAAACTGTTGAGTGTTACACCAATTGTTATGTGTTGAAATATGCTTAGATTTAACAGATACACCTGGCATCTACATGTTCACGGCTTGAATAGAAGTTACAAAGGCTAACAATTTGGGAATACCAAAAATTATTGTTTCGGGGCCACCCTACACGACATTACTTCTGTTCCACAGTTCCATCAGAAATAAGAACATTAAGTACAAAGTGCACCAAGGACCCTTTGCAATGTATTGTTTGTTAAGTACCTTCTCTAGATCGAGTTGTGTCTGGTCAGCCTGACTGCCTTGACCCTGGACAACACCTGTAGCACTTGTAGGGTACATATGAGTGTAGCTTTCAGTCTCTTGATTATAATAAGGGTGACTGGCAGAAGAGCTTGCATTATAGTTATAATTTGCCTGAGGAAAAAGTAGAAAACAATCAGGGGAAAAAAAAAAAAAAAAAAAAAAACAGAGATAGAGAGAGAGTGGGAGATAAAAAAAAAACAGCATTCATTTAACAATCCTATGATAACAACATGACTATACAGCCAGGCATATGTAACTCTATCTTCCAACTGAAACCACAATTGGATGTCAACAGGAAAGCCACACAGACACTTTTTACATGTGGTAAATGGTGTCTATATCACAGTGAAATTTAAACTTCAGGTTAAAATAAAAAGAAATTATCATAGCTTGGGTTTAATCTTAGTTCTCTTAATTTTACAGCCTCAATTATGAATCATTTGGAATAGGGGATGCTGAAAGTTAAAAAAAGCAGATAAAAATTTTTTACCACATATATACATGCAATTTCAATTACAACATGCACTTGTTTGCATTTATATTGGTATTTATACTCACATAATAGCTATTATCAACAGCAGAATATCCTCCGTATTCCTGGCTTTGCTCACTTTGTTGATCATAATAGTAAGTCTTAGTTTCCAGCTCCTTCTGAGAAGAGATTTCCTCACTTGAGAAAGCAGCCTGAGCACTTGTGTCATCTACAACAGGATGTGTTGCTTCATCCACATGCTTTGCACTGCTTTGAGACATGTTAGTACTTGATGGTATCTGATCTTGTGACAATGATAATGAAAGAGGATTTGGCCTTTCTATTGCTGCAACATTGAAACTTGTCATTGACTCAGTATCCTCACTCTGAAGAGTTTGTACTTTTTCGTCAGATTTGATCTCAATTTTGTCATTGAATGTAAAAAAGCTTACAGGTTCATCTTCATCTTCACTGACAGTTTCTTCATCTTGTCTCTTCTTAACCATTTTTTCTGTTTTCTTCTCCTGTCCTGGGGTTGGTTTCTTTGTCAACGTGTGGGGTATCAATGGCCTGCTTGTTAATTTAACAGCAGGTTTGTTTGGGTTGTCTGCCCTCCGTGTGATACTGTGCTTGGGTTTGGGAAGAAGTGCTTTGAGTCCTGATCCTTCCTTAAAATGATGAACATCAGTTCCTTTAACTCCCATAAGTGACTGAGACAGAATTTCTTCTTACAATATCAATACAATATCAAGCAGACAAGTGATGAGAATATAGAAAAATATCAATTAGGGGATTATAAGTTGATCCAATACCAAATTCTCCAAACTGATATGACAAGAACTGTATGGAAAACAGAAAGGAGAATTACTAATGAGATCTTAGGATTTAAAGGGTTAAAAAAAAGGAAATAAACCAGTTCAAATACTCTGTCAAAAGTTAGCATGCAGCATATAATACATAACTCAAGGTAAAAAACATCAATCCACTCCCTCCTGCAATTGAGTTATAAAGTGAAAATAAGATTAAATATTAATGAATAAACCAGTAGTAATAAAAGTTTGATCAAATAGAAAAAATATAAATCCACTCCCACCTGCCATCTCCTATGCATGCGTCTAATGCTATGTTTACAGCAAACCTTTTCATAAGCATATAAACTTTTTACCACAAATCAATATAAATTGACACCTTATGCATACATTACCTTTGATGGTCCAAGTTTCTTTGCTGCTGGCGTATCATCTTCATCATCAGAATCAGTCTGAAAGAAAATGTTTATCAAAAATTTGTCAGATTTGCTGATCAGCATCACACCTTTGTGGCTTTTTGTTTTCACTTATAATTAATATCAATGATGATTTTGTCCCTTTCAAAAGCAGACTCCTTATCATGTGTCTGCTGAATCAAAATTGTGAGATGTTCACCAAATATGTGAATCATGAGGTGATGTTAAAATATTTTTATGACAGGGAACATGAGTCTCTCTTCCATACAGTGCTCCAACTTTAGACATGTATCACAATTACACTCTTGTTATACACTCTACAAGTCTACACATAGGTGTGTCTGAGAGTGCATCATACTAAGGGGAATTAACTTGTATCACTAAAGTTTACCCAGTAGTGTCTTATTTGGTTCCTCTGACAACTTTTTGGCAAATACGTGTATTTCAATTCTTCTAGTTGGAGATATGCACAGTAAGAGTCGAGCATCTTTAACCAGGAACATGATAAAATGACTAGACCTCATCTTCAGTCCTTAACTTTTGAGCAGTAGTCCAGTTTACTAAGCATTAAGGAGACCAAATTTTCAACAGGTATATATAATGGTGATAGTGGAGTCCAATTTGGTCATATGAATGACAAACAAAAAAAGATGGCCATGAAGTGGGAGTCTGATTTGCCAGTCACATGTATGATTAAAAACAGAATTGGAAAACTTGAAGTCCTCTTACCAATTAATCAAAACTGTTACAATTTCTGGAAAAAGAAAAATATAGAACAAACATCTCTGGTAGAGATAATGTCTTAGGTAAAAGATTCTTCCACTTTGGAAATTCCCATTTTTTTTCTTTTTTTAAGGGATACATGGTTGATGTTGTTACTGTCTGATTATAACTGTACTGAACGATAAGTGAAAAATAAAGGAGCTATTGTACCAATTACATGTGAGGAAATTGTAATGGTTATGATTAGTATATTAATGTGATATGTTGCAGCTTTAACATTTCTTTGCCAGCTTGCTTATTATTCTCCCTTATCTTAAGCACAACTGGTGAAAGAAATATTCAAACTGGTGGAGCAACCCTTTTACTTATTAAATTTTCAATAATTCCAAGTGATTTAAGGCGTACTTCAAGTGGAAAATTTTACTGGTTACTGCCTGAAAAGGAAAACACTGCAAGCTACAGTGCAACCCTACTTTAGGTAATGCAATGATTAATGCAAGCTGCAATGGATGATCAGTGTTCTCAGAAGTATTTTCACAGGACTGCTGTTGAAAAAACTAGCCTGCTAAGGTCAATGTGCATATCAGATCAAGACAGGTATCAAACTGTTTCCTCTAATAAAAGTAGCTGACACTTTGGAAACCTGCAGTAGGCCAAAAGGTTCCTTGTTATTCCAGAGAATACTGCTGGATGTTTATTGTAATTACCTTAGGTGCAGTGGGGATAGAAATTTTGACTGGTTGCTTTAATTTTCTATCCTCAGCCACAGACGCTTTATCATCCTTCTTTTTCCTTTGCCAGGTGCTGTCTGCTTTCCAAGGTGCAGGTAAAAGAGAGAAAAGGCTGCCTACAGACCTTGGCTTCTCATCTCCATCAAAATTGTCGACCTTCTTCGCTCTTTTTGCAATTGGCTCATACTCTTCTTCGATTTCCAAAATCTCCTCATCATCCGCCATCCCTTCCAAGGTAATAGGAAGGTTCTTGCTATCAGAGGAACCGTGGTTGTCGACAGCTTCTCTTTCGAGGTTGCTCACATTTTTAGGCTTTGGTAGAAATGAAGATAATCCGGTTTTCCCACTTAAACTGGTAGAAGAATTCGATGTATTCTTCTCTTGCGTCGGTTTAGGAAGAACCAAACCCTTTCCTCTACCGGGATCACTTTTTTCGGAGCTGAGAGAGGGATGTTTAACATCATCTTGATTGCTTTGTAGTTCTTCATCGCTCTCTTCATCTCCGCTGCTCCCGTAGGCGACGAGCGACATTTTCGCCAACTCTGTACCCGTTCCAAGAATTCACAAACCCGAATTGCAAAGGAAAGGAGTTCTTAGAGATGTTTTTAGTAGACTTTTACATCGATCAGCGACTGAGCCGTGTGATCAGGGAGAATGTTCAAGCGTCAGAAAATTTTACTGTCTTTGTCGCAAGTTCCGCCATATTTGTTAGACCTAGAATCCAGTCTCTTGCGGATGTTTACTAAAAATGACTGTTGGGTGGAATGTACCCCAACATCCACTTCTGTCAATGTGGTAATTTTTCCAAGGCACGAATTTAGATTTGTCTTTTAAACCTTTTTGATTTTCTGATACCTGAACATTATTTTGTTGACTCTCTGAGCTTTTAAGAAATCAAACGAAGGGCGAAGGTGAAGGGAACGACTAGATGATGCCGTAGATGGCTGGTAATTGGTTCAAAAGGAAGAGACTTAAAGGCACCATTTGTCAAAATTTTGTTTCCCGCAGCCCACCATTTTCAATAAAGGAAAAATGCCAGAAGACGAAAACAAACAAACAAACAAACAAACAAACAAACAAACACGAATACATGTTTTAAAAAGTTAGCTTGTTGGAAAATCCTGTCTGGGTGTTTTCACTTCATGGTTAAAGAAAAGTATTCCGCTCTTTAAAAACATTAGTTAGGAGCAGTGTCTTAGGATGGACGAAAAGAGAGGTGAGGGTCGGGGGTGGGGTGGGGGTGGGATGACGCTGTTCCATATTTGAAAAGGTTATGATTTCAGCGACTGAGCAGCTGCAGCCGGGGAAAACTGCGAGGAGCTCGAATTTTGGTGTCCTTGACCAAGAATTTTGGCTCCCTTTGATGATGAAGTTGCTGGAACACCAGACGTGGATGAGAAAGACCGATTTGGCTCCAACTACCTGGCACAGACCGCGTATCCTATTGCTTTTTTATGGCGAATAAACCATCAAGTTTCTGTTCTAACGAGATTTGCCGAGATTGCCCATTTAAAGCTGATTGTTGAGGAAGGTTTTGGCTCAAAGTTCCGTTGAAGGATCATTCTTTGTAAAATTTCGATATTAAAATCATGACTGGAAAGACTGATCAAATAACATCGAGAAAAGAGCTTTGAGAACGATATTTCCATCGGCCGGTAGCTGTATTTATCGAGATTTTTGAGACGAATCGCCAACGAACAGAGATTCATGAAAACTAGCTTCAATTTGAAATTTAAGTTTGCAAGATTTTATTACTTGTATAAACTCAAATCATATCTGTGTTTTAAATAGGTTGGGCTTGTTTACCTTAAACTGAAGAGAAAAACTGTGCAAAGCTGAAGAACTATGCTATAATTGCATTCATACCCTGAGCTGGTACCAAGCAGGTCATTCATTGTCTGTCGTCCCAGCAAGCCCTTCGGTTCTGCATAATTTATGCTTCGTCCGTGTTTTTAATCTGAGCCAGCCCTTTCTTAAACCACAACTAATGGCGGGGCTATTCGTTGAATTACGAGCCAAATGAAGCGCTCAGGATCACTCAAGCTTGTTATAAAAGGCATCTTAGGTGAGTCAGAGATTTGATAATATCTGAGACTATTGAGAGAAACAATTTACACCACATTTCAATCACTGTTAGTTCACGTTGAGGTCAATTGCGATCTTGCTTCGTCAATGGGTCTTTGTGTATCTTCAGAAATATATATTTTCCCTTCTAAATCGTTATTGTTCCTTCCACAAGTTAAAATTTTTCAAATATTATTTCTGCTATGACAGTGTTTGCCAAAATGAGAAAGCATTTGCGGGCATACAGTACAATCAAATTAGGTTCCTTTATTGCAAAGCGACGAACGCGTGTACATTCGTCTCAGTTTCGTGTTCGCCGCTGGCTTCCCAAAAATGGAGGAAAAAAAAATAAATGTAAAATGAGATATACGATTTTTGCTAAATAGTTCGTCAACTAGCTTTACCATCAAACCATTTCGTTAAGTAAAAAATCTGACTTAGACTAGAGTGTACTATACGCCCGCTTCCATACATGCCACTTAATCAAAATGTCCTTTTTATTGAAGAATCCGTCTTCAACCTCAACATTTCAAAATTGTGCTATCTGAAAGAAGTAGATTCGTTTCAATTGCGTAATATATACTATTAAAAAGAAAAAGAAGTTAGAATTTACATAAAAGCTTGCCGGTGTTTGCAAGCAGGAAAGTCTAATAGCCGATACCTTAGCAACAGGAATCTCCTTAAAAAATTCGGGGAGAAAACGTATTATTACTTTCATGAATTTTAACTGCAATGAGCAAATGTTGTTTTTTTTAAGAAATACAAAAGCCTGAATTATGTATACATGAAAAAAAGAGCGTTTGTATACATGATGGATGTACACAGTAACAATGAAGACTTGAATGAAAGTAATCCTCGCAGTAATGTGCACTACTTAGGCAGTGGTGAAAATAAGGCCTGAAAAAAATTCAGGCCTGAACGGACAGGCCCGTACAGGCCTGAATTTTTTTCAGGCCTTACTTTCACCACTGCCTAAGTAGTGTACATTACTGCGAGGATCACTTTCATTCACGTCTTTATCTGCAGTTCAAATATATGACTTTCATATATTCTCAACCAATGAAGACTTGGTAGACAAACAGCGCACGATAACTTGTACAAGATACCGCCCGTAATAGAACGAAAAACAAAACTTTCCATATGGGAAAAAATTTTGACTTTGTGAGATTGTAATCGACAAACGTTTTAAGAGAATTTTTTTCAGCTTTGATACAGTATAAAAAGGACGCGTACATGTCATAGTTCTAAAGTGGTATCTGTCAAAATGATCTTAGTTTTATTCACATATGCAAGTTTTTAAGGTGGTTCGAGATCGCCCCGTATTGATGGCAGAAATTCAGTTTGAAATTGAATGTGTTGACGTAGAAAGCCTAATTAATCACTTTAATTCATATAAAACACTGTTGAAAGGAACAAGAACTTGACAATAAAGCATTGTTTTTGACGAAATTCGTAATTTTACTTTAAAAATGTCATTTGAGGAAATTGTATGTGAATTTGTATTTATCACCCTTGACGTGTTAGTAACTTGAATGAGTGACAACAATGCCTATTTATTTCATCATAAATTTATACATGTACGAGGGAGTGCTGTTGTCAAAGGTGAGTTGGAAACCATAGAAAGTCGCAGTAAAGTTTATCTAAATGTTGATAGAAGGAGAGAGAGATTTTTTTATGAGAATTTTGCATTGCATAATGACTTCTGAGCGAAAAAGAGTCATTCTTTCTTCTTACCGAACGAATATTTGAGACTTCTAGAGTGACTGTTTTTTTCACTTTAACGTGTCGACACAAAAGCCTTAGTTTGTTTCACGCATTGCTTTTAAAATTGATTTCACTGATTATTCTTCCCCAATCGATGAGATATCAGATGTTGAATTGTCTAACTCTAAATATAAACTTGAAATTAAATTTATGTGAAAGAGAAAAGGTATTCATCTCTGGTTCTATTTATAGATGTTTTTCCAATGAAAATCTGCATATGACACAAGTCGTACTAAAATGTATTTACTAAGTTTTGCTTGGTTCGCAAGGCATGGTTTTTGACCTTATGTAAGACTGAACACAAACACGGTTATGAAAAAGTTAGATTTAATTAGGCAATGTCTGTGGCTGATTTTAAGATATTTTTCTTGAATTTTATACCTTGAAAAGCATGATTAAGGTTTCCTGAATATTTTAAAAAATGTTTAAATGCATCTTTTCTTTCTCTAGAAATGGAGTAAAAAAAAAGGACAACGAGGCACATGACACAAAAGCACCAATGCTTCATTCTTAAGAGGGATGTCCCGTCAACCTTCACCTTCCCATGAGCAGGATTCAAGTCAAAAAGCCATGATTGCTCATCAAGACAATTTAACAGACGCTCTTAATTCGCTGGGCCTCACTAAAGGTGCCACGAACCTATCTCCAGAGGCAAAGAGACACCATGAAAATGTTGCTCTTTACATGTTCATCGGCCTTGTGTCCGCTTTCTTGTTCATCGCGACGATCATCATCACAGTTGAACTGTACCGGAGTGGACGATGCGCGAAAAGTTTAAAACGAAAGGGTGATAAGGGAAGAACTAGGCTTGAAAATGAAGATGATGACGATGAGGGTGATTATTCGGAAATAGAGATGAACGACTTATAGTGATAAATGTATATGGATCCAAAGTGGGTTTCCTGCGGAAGGAAGTAATTCAGGTGTGATAACGGGAATGCGATCGACGTAATGGGTACGGGGCCGTGCGGTGACCAATTTGTTGCAAGGTTTTGCAAAGTGGACTGACGGTGAAGGTGTTTATTCGGAAATCTAGATGATTGACTTGTTGTGACAAATAGAACCAGCATAAGTATCAGTGCTTTGCTTTACGATCAGTGCAACGAGTGAGAGTCTCTGTAGCAGGCCAGCTGAAGCTCCTCAATGCAATGTTTTGCCCAGTGACCTGGGAGCAAATATGAGATATAAAATGTCGATCTTCAAACCAAATACTGATCTGTACACTTTCAGTCTTTTCCTTCTCGTTGCCTTCATCGTTTCAATAAGGGCCCGGTTAAACAAAGTAGTGTTTGTACCAAATCAGCATCAACATTTGAAAGCAAAGATGTCATCGATCACATTGAAAACAGGGAATGCTTGAAAAGGCCTCTTGTTTGGAAAAAGTGTATCTTCGATGGCCTGATTAGTTCCCGCACATGCGTAAAGCAATGCCTTTCAACTAAGGCAGCCAAGGCAAAGAATCGTATCGTGATCCAAACTTAAAACAAATATTTTTAATTCCTAAGTAAACTAAGGCTTCAGGATGTGAGTATTACACTCTGGCGCCGATGTTAGGCAATACAGGAAAACTAAAGAGGTCTGGGTCATTTTTGGAGAGCCAATTTTCTAAATATTTTGCTAGCGACGCAAAGCTGACCTGGCAGACAGATAAAACAAAACGAATTAGTACGAGTACGTCTGATACAAAACTGTTTTCATTGTAGTATCAGCGTAAGCTAACGAAAGGCCCCCCTTGTCAAATCAACAAAACGTAGAAATTAAATCGTTGTACTGTAATAGCTTTGCACGCGCCATAAATAGATCCCTCTCAGAGAAGAATAGTCTGGTAGTCTAATTTTATTTTTGGAACGAGTCAAACTGGCGGTTCTCAGCAGTTGTTTTCCGGTGATTGAATTGATACGGTGATCAGATTAATTCAATCAGTTCGATATAAACAGCATTCAGAATGCAATATCCCCTCGTATTGGTAGTTTCAGTGGGATTGTAATATACATCTGCGTACTTCCAACATCAGCCGCCTTGCCTGCGTCGAACGTGCAGGTTCAAGAGAAGGGGTCACTAAGAGTCTGCTGATAATCTCTGTTATAGACTTGTCACAGATCTAGAGCATTGATCAACAACTCTCAAAGAATGGTTTTTGGCCGACGATTCAAATAAAGACAGGACCGCACAGACGTCGAACGTTCTCAACAAGATATTGACCATAAAAACGATCTATTTACATTCAGGAAATTATATTGTTACATTTTTTAAAGGAGTGCATGTTTTGATATAATAAACAATTGTCCGTTTATGGACAGTGTAGCTTATCAAGGATGTTCGCTCCCGTTTTGTTTCAGTTTAAACGTTAACATTTACTAATTATCGAATATTTTGCTGGAGAAAATTATGGTTAACTATGTTTTATAATATGTTTTTTCCTGTTAATATCAGAGCCTCTCTAAATACAGTCGATATCTAGTGATAACTAGCGTATCTGAGAAATTAGAGGTGTTGCCTTTTTTTAGAGCCAAATTCTATAATCAAGTTCCTCAAGTGTCTACAAAGAACACTTTCTGTGTCCTTCGTGACTGAAGAGTTATTAGCTAATGGCAGATAAAGCTCTTGCGAATTAGCATGCATATCTGATATCGGTAATACCTTCCAAGCGGTCATGAAATATCTGGGTGTTGTCGGTGTAGTTGGTTTGCTTCTACGGCGCACAAAATTTAAGAAAGCTCCAACAAATCCCCAAAATTTCAAGGCGAAGTGCTGGCTGCTTATTGAGCATATTCCAATTGAGTGTTTAAAGAAATACAATTGCTGGGTCGAGTTACCCAGTGTGCCATCCTCTCAACCAATCAGTTAAGAGGAACTTTCAATCGAGTTTCAAAAGTTATGCAAGATTGCGTTGGTCTTACTTTACATCACTTTGTGATTGGATGAGAGAACTCACGCATCCTCGCAACCAATCAAATGCGAAACTAAAACCAATTGCGATTTAATCGCCGGCGTTTTCCCGTGCTTCAAGCCGTTACTTGCTTTTATTTTGGCTTATCGTTGGGTTCTTTTGATATGTTTCTTCTTCTGTTTGGGTGTTGTGATTATAATGGTTTTGGTTTACGACACTCGGTCGAAATGAGCTGTAAACATAAAGCCAATCACGACTTGACCTTGGTTGCTCGCCCTTGTACACATCAGGTTGGTTTTGATTTCTATTTTATCTCTATCGGCTCTGATTGTGGCGTCTTGACCCCATTCACACCAAAACTTAAAAATGTTTAAAAGTTGTTTTGTTGAACACAGTTTAATTTTTTTTTCTTCGTAGAAACAACTTAACCTAATGTTTTTCTACTTAAATTATAGCAAATTGGAAATGCTAATTAGCAATTAGTTAATTCCTATGGAAATTAAGTTTTTCCAGTTCTCTCTCTACGAGTTTCATTCAAGGAAAATCAGTTTAACAAAACATGTTTTGCTGGTGTGAATATAGGCTATTGGTTTAAGTTGCTGTTGAAATTCCTTTTTATTATAGTTTTCTTTCACTTTTTTCCAATAAGATTTCACAATCGATGCACATTGTACATTTTGCCTCATTAATTAATTACAAGGAAAGATAAACTCATTTTAACGGCATCAGTTGAATTCCTAAAATGCGGTAGGGCCTCGTTTCACTTAGGGAACTTCTAGGTTCCGCAAGCAGTATCATTGTTCTCCAAGAAAATTTTGATAAAAAGATCTAAGAATATCAATTTGATCAGCCTCCAAACTTCAGTGCTGAACAACAACAGTTCAGCTAAAGGGCTTATCTATAACTTAACGCACTGTTTTCATTGTTCGTATATGCATGCACTCTCTTTTTCAGTTCCCTCCCGCTTCGATTAGCTCCGCTATTTTGCTGGTAGGGATTGTTATGAATATGTATTTGATTGTTTAAAGAAAGTAAATTTGCTTTCTTTGTTGTACGTTGAACTGAAGATTCAAAATTCTTGACATTGATCCATAGAAGAAGCAATTACACTTGGAATGAATTAATCACGTTTGGCCATACATATGTGTACAATCAAGAAAGAATCTCAAATGCAGTATTGCTGAAGGTTTTCAAATACCACAAATTAAAGAAATGTTCACTTAGACGATACCCAATCGATTTTCTTTTAATAACTCCAAATGAGCAGTTTGTACTTCCTATTTTTAGAGAAAAATTATGCTTTGATTGTAGCCAGAGAAACTAATTGGACGTGATTTCAATAACCAAAACTCGCGGAAGTTGACGGTTCAATGCCTGTTTGACCTATAACTACTTCATCTAAATTTCAGATTTTTGTCGACAGTCTGCGCTTCCTGTTTCAGCAACTACTGTTTTGGTGCAAAAAGGATGAGTTCCAAATATTCTCTGCCCAAAATAAGAGATGAAAAACGGTCTAAAAGGCTCCCACCCTCAAAGTCACGGGCGTTGTGGCAAGCCTCGGGAGCAAGTATCCAACCGAAGTTTAACAGATTGCCGTCAGAGTGTTACTCTGAAGAGTTCTTCCAAACTGCCCAGTGTGGTAAACATGTTTTCAGACAACGATCAGCGACTATTTGTTTACCTGGTGCTTCAAGAATCGGCCATTCAATAGAGGCATTGAACAACCGCGGCAGATTTATCGAAAACCTCAAATTTCCATCTCTGCGTCAAAGAGTAAAGTCGGATAGCTCAGTAGAAATCGGGGTCGTAGAAGGCTCGGTACCTGTTCAAAGAAGACTATCGTGCGTCTTACCAGATGTTTCAGGAAGGAAGGAAGAACCAAACTTTGGAGTAGCTCCTCTGAGACAGCAAGATGTTGAAAAATGGAACGATAACTTTGATCCAGTGAAAAGCACATCTCATAATTTATCGAAGTGGCTCAGAGATCAAACCTGATGGCAAAGAGGCTACAGATCCCATGATTCCGGGGGTGCTTCAACTAAAACGTGGCTGCTCTCCGCAGGATGTATAAACAATCTATTTTAAAGAAAGACGCTGCAGGTCTCTACCTCTATAGACGAGTTATACTTGAAGTCAATCATATTCAGTCTGTTATAAGCTATGTTTTGTAACTATGGTTCACTTCTAGGTACACAATTATATGTACTAGGTATTAGAGCGAATTTTGCTTGAGGGTCGTAAGTCAGAATCAATGTAATCAAAACGGCGATCTAGAAAAGAGGAAAATAACATAAATATAACCAACAAGAACTCGACATAAACGTATTTGAATTGGCTGGGGCGCGGAAAAATCGAGATCCGGCGTTCTAAATTTGCATCTGATTGGTTGCGAGGGAGGATGATATTTCTAGACCAATCAGAAATCGTAGTTAAGCAAAACCAATACAATCCAGTTTTACTTTCAATAGCTTTTCAATCTTTGTTGTTGTGTGCATTAGTGATAATAGATTCAGACAACAGGCTGTCGCTGAAAATGCTTTTCATGGTCTGCCCAAGAGGAATCCATATGACTTTTGTTGAAAACACAGGAGGCCACCCAAAGGTGTCTTCATAGTGAAGTCTTTTAACGTTATAATGCGTACATGTTTTTCCCTTAACATGGGTAAATAAAAGTGAAGACAGTGTATGGACAGCTTATAGCTTGCGTCTGAATAAAAAGTAATCGTGATCAGACTTCCTAACATTGTTCGTAACTTAATCGAAGATGAGAATTCAACTTTAATCAGTAGTAATCCGCGCTGTGCGTATTATATGTAATACATGCAGCCAACGTAAACAAGTCTACGGGGCCAAACAATTGGCCAGGAGTCTAATCTTGATGCGCACATCGCGTTTCGAAAATTACAATTTCCACTGATGTTTTCCTTACCGAAATTAAGTTCAGCGGGAGATTTGAGGGGTTAGTTTAAATTTTGGGTGTGACTATTTCAATGTGACTCTGAAATAATCTGAGTACAACATATTTTTTTTGCAAACTGATCCAGAGTTCAGAGGAATTAAGGGGAGCAAGGTTAACGGAGGAGAACAGAAGAATTTCTCTATAATTGGATATTGACTCGTAAGAAAACACAGCTGAAATAATAACAACCATATACATAGAGTACACATTTAAAGAAGCAAATTTCAAAAACATTTGTTGTTGTTGCTCTGATTAAAACCCACGACGAGTGTCTGCTAAGACCAATAGATGATGAAAGCAACAGGAAATCCAAATATTGCATAAGAGGTTCTCAAAACTATGTATTTTCATTTTGTCATAACGAGTAGAGTTGTTTGTCAAAACAACGCTAGAAAGCTGTATATAAAAAGTTTTCCTCGAAATTTTCTTTGCGGACAAAAGCTTATCATTGATCAGCGAAGAAACTTTACAAAGCGGATAAATCATGAAAAGAATCATTCTCCCATCTGTACGCATGTTCGTAAAGGTGCTGAGGAATTATATGTATTTCATGATGCATGGAATGTTGTCTCCTGACTACCCTGTTGATCACGAGGAGGAGTTTCACTTCGGAAACATGTGGTCGGCAAAGGGTTGGAAAGAAAATGCTCTTGAACATCCATCTCACTGTATAAAAAAGTGCTGTGTCTGTTGAATGTCTTGTAATTAAAACCACAGCACAAGTACCTTAGTAGGAGTGTGAGGCTCAAACACCAACTGGAAAGCAGTGATGAACGCCAATTAACTAAGATGCAATGAAGATTATGTAATCCCCATTATTTTTAGCTCAAAGATTCAATATTAAGTAGATGCATTTAGTTCGCCTTTTGATGTTATAACTGTCCACCGATGAATGAGAGAAGGAGTTTTTCTCCTTTAAACAGGTCCGTGATAAAACTAGTTCGCCTTCAAGGTAGATTTGTTTCCAGACAAGACACGGTTTGGCTTTTTTTCGTTGTTGTTTTCCAGAAAACTGCAAGACAATACACAAACTGTTCAGCACCTATCGGGTTGCTCCTCTCACTTAACCTTTTACTTGGTAACATTATCATTGGATATAAACCTAATACGTTTCTGGCTTACTGATGAAAAAATTGCGGATTAACGTTAGCTTTTCAGATTTAACTTGTTTAATTTTTCTTTTGACATGTGACCATCCTCAGCGGCGAGTTTTCACGCACAAAAAAAAAACAAGTGAAGACTAGACCCTCTTTATCATTTGTTCGACAAATCTGACCCCACATTCCGTAATTGTACTGATGCTTCATCAGAGACTACTCACGACGGCATATCAGAGTAAATCATTTTCTTTTCATAATGGAGTAGATATTTTACCAAATAAGGAATTTTCTGATGGACTTTAAAA